CTTAATGACCTGAAGGGTTACTTACATTATTTCTAAGTCAAAGCAGGCATCTGCACCAAATCTGTATCTTTCTCTTGTACCATTTGGCCATTTCACCTTTTGGAAAATGAAAAAATATAAATGTTATTTTCAGCCAGATGTATAAAAAGTACAATAATTCAAAACAAAATATGACACTACATGGGTATAAATTAAAAGTGTCTTTTTATACAAAAATCATTGTGTCTCTTACTTCAATTATTTTTCCTGTATGACACATAAAATGTCCGTTTAATATTTTGTATCCAAAAAATAAATCAGTCAGTAGAAAACTACCGAAAGATCAGAAAACACAAACAAGATTGTATCCCTCACCTGGTAAAATAAAATGCTCCGCTGGGGCGCAGCTTGATACGACCGCAGAGGTCGAACCCTGAACAGTTGGGGCAAGTATGGACACAACATTCAAGCTTGATACAGCACTGAATTTGGATTGTAATTAAATATTTGACACAGCATAGGTTTCTGACACAGAATGAATGTGGTCTAAGAACTTAAATTTTTTTAATTTACCTATTCAAACCATATCATTATTATTTGCTTATATATATAAATCAGAAATAACCAATTTAAAATGGGAAATTTTAAAGTAAAAAAAAGGAAAAAAAAATCCCCCCCCCAATTTTTTTAACCCCCTTATGATTCATCACCCCCTAAAACAATCCCAGCCTTCCCTTTGTGGTATGGTACCTTGCAGTACAATTTCAGAGAGATCCATACACTTGAACACAAGTTATTGTCTGGAAACTAGAAAAATGCTTGTTTTTTGGCCCCTTTTTGGCCCCAAATTCCTAAACATTTAGGGCAATTACCCCCAAACTCATACCCAGCTTTCCCTTTGTGATATGGAACCTTGCAGTACAATTTCATAAAGATCCATACACTTACACACAAGTTATTGTCCTGAAACTAGAAAAATGCTTGTTTTTTTGCCCCTTTATGGCCCCTAATTCCTCAAATTTTGAGGGAATTACCCCCAAAATCAATCCCAGCCTTCCCTTTGTGGTATGGTACCTTGCAGTACAATTTCAGAGAGATCCATACACTTGAACACAAGTTATTGTCTGGAAACTAGAAAAATGCTTATTTTTGGCCCCTTATTCCTAAACATTTTAGGCAATTACCCCCAAACTCAATTCCAGCTTTCCCTTTGAGATATGGAACCTTGTAGTACAATTTCATAAAGATCCATACACTTACACACAAGTTATTGTCATGAAACTAGAAAAATGCTTGTTTTTTGCCCCTTTTTGGCCCCTAATTCCTAAAATTTGGAAGCAATGACCCCCAAAACCAATCCCAGCATTCCCTTTGTGATATGGAACCTTGTGGTACAATGTCAGAGAGATCCATACACTAACACACAAGTTATGTCTGGAAGTTACAAAAATGCTTATTTTTGGCCCCTTTTTGGCCCCTAATTCCTAAACTGTTGGTACCATAACCCCCAAAATCAATCCCCACCTTCCTTTTGTGATATTGAACCTTATGGTAAAATTTCATAGAGATCCTTTTACTTAAACTAAAGTTAGAGTGCGAAAACCAATGTGTCTTCGGACGACGACGACGACAACGTCATACCAATATACGACCACAAAATTTTTTAGCAAGTTTGCTAATGAGGACTTTGTGCTTCTGATAATTTTTTCAATTTACATATCTAACCTAGCTCCTATAGTTTTTGAGATAACTGCCAAAACTACCAAAAAAGACATATCAGGGGCAATGAATTCAAAACAGGCTGCCTGTTTTTCTCCAATTGTCAGGGAAGATACATCTTATCATGGTGATCCTTTTTTTGCAATTTTCTCTTTTCTAGCTCCTATAGTTTTCAGGATAACGACCAACACTGAGTGCTAAAAATTGGAAAAAAATGATATGTCAGGGGCAAAAACTCATGAACAAGAAGTTAAATTTTTCTCCAAATTTTAGAGTAGATAGTTCTTATCATGCTGAACATTATTGCCTTTTACACTTTTAACCTAGCTCCTATAGTTTTGATGATAATAGTCAAAAACTGTGAAAAATAGAACTTGCATTTTTAGGGGCAATAACTCCATATAGCATCTTCACATTTTTCTGATATTATCAGGTAGATCAATTTTGCAAGTTTCAACAGATAATGGATGATGGATGCAGAGATGGCAAAACAGATGAGCTAAAAATGTACAGTAAAACCAGTAAAATGTAAAAATTTATTTTTACCTTTTTTTGTGTTTTTGTTGAAAACTATAATAGACAGATAGCAAAATTAATCAGCAAGACTAGATCTACAAATAAGTTAACAGTGTCAAAATTGTCAGTTGACTCATTATAGGAGTTATGGTCCTTAAATGAAGGTTTTTACCAATTTATGTGGGTTTACCTATTATGCTGAAAAAAACCTGTTATAGATAATTAAGCAAGACAAGATTTATAAATTAGTCAATAATGCTGAAATTGTTGGTCAACTTTTAATTGCAGTTATTGCCCTTAAATGACAATTACAATTGTTTATGGCTCCATTATATTGACAAAATTGGGTGAACAACTCAAAACAGACATAAGTGTGCTGAAAAAGGCAATCAATCTTTGGATGATCCTCTTTCAAATTCATATCAAGCAGCCTACAGCTTCCAGAGCTTCAAGACTATTTGTAGAACTCTTTATGTTTTATGGTATGTTTTTGTTGTTAGATTGTGTAGTTATTGATGTACACCCTACACTCTTTCAAGTCCTGTTATTCTTTTTACAAATTAAAATTTCATCTGGAACCAAAATTTAGTCGAATGATCCTAGTGTGACCTACACAGTGTCAAATCCACGTCATAAATTCTTGATCAGTTTTCAAGTCCTCACTCAAACACCTAAAACTAATCATGTAAAACCAAGCTTTTCTTTGATGATCTTTCAATATCTGAAATGCGGATAAATAACAAGTGAAACTGTGAGCTACTGCTCACTGATGATACCCCCACCGCAACTGGATAATTTTAATAGTGTAAAAATATGCAAGTGTTTGGTAAACAGGAAGTTGTTGAGTGATGAATCTGAAAACACATCACACGGTATAGCTGACTTACATAAACCCTGAAACCAAATTTCAGAAATCCTTATGATGTAGTTCCTGAGAAAGATGCGACGAAAAATATTCATGGGACGGATGGACGGACTGACGGATGGACTGACGGACGGAAAGACAGACAGAGGTAAAACAGTATACCCCCACTTTTTAAAGCGGGGGTATAATTAAACTAAATAAAGATACTGTTATCTATAGTCATCACCAATGAAAGTTAGGTAGATTGAATTTCTCTTAATAAATTTTCTCAGATGCAAAATATTTGTTTATATATTGTTTCATTTAAATGCACCAAACTGCTTAAACAAGTTGACAAAGGTGTGTTGTTATTTGTTGTGACCTTTAATCCTTTATGTAATCTTTGTAGGTTGTACCATAAGTGTAATATCAAATTACTGTTAGGGTCTTAGTGATCAAGTGGTCTAAGAAGGTCTTCCACAGTAATCACTAGCCCATCAACACAGAAGTTGTGAGTTCGAAAACCTTGCGGAAAGGTGGGCTTGAGTCGAATCTTAATTGAATATTTAGTTTTGTGGTTCTATCCACCTTCCTCCACCAATATAAAAACTAGCCAAGAGTGTTACAAGTGGTGTCAAACCCCAACAATTAATCAATTACATGTAGTGTTAAAATTTAAATATGATAACTGAATCTTTTAGCTAATTATCTGAAGGAAAGTCGAAGATGAAACTAAAACAGAATCTGATCAAAAGTAAACATGCTTTATCAAATTTATAAAAACATGATTTTGGACTCTGTGGGACCTTTATAATAAAGCAGGAGTCCAAATTACAACCTATTCTAGCATACGTGTAATAGAAAATCAACTTTGGTGCACAAGGGCTATTGAACATAATTAATAAGTTTTGGAAAGGAATTAAATTTTAATGCCCCCGCTGTAGGTGACGTGGCTATTTAGTGTTACCCTTGACCTTCCGTCCATTCTATTTTTGTACCAAAGCTTGGGGGGGGGGGGGGGGGGGGGGGGGGGTATTCATGTCCTCAGACACATTCTTCTTTTGATTAATATAAATTATAAGAAAGATTACATATTTTTATGGGACATGTATATGGCTGTTTTGATAAGATGATGTTTCCAATATTTTATTTAAAAATATATAAAAATTTATCACAGATTAATAAATGTAGCAGTTATTCTGGATCTATCATTTGCACTCTGTAAACATTCTTTTTCAATTACATATTAATCATTTATCTACCCCAAATCATTATATCATGATGAAAGAATCAGAAAGATACCGTTGATTCATTTATGATAGAGGATACCAATTTTTGTGGATTGAGGGAAATGTTTATTTTCATGGATTATTGATTCCACTGGTTTCTTTTAGCAATTCTTCATATACAAGATTTCAAAAATAAATTTTTTGTTGAACACTTAAAACTCATGGTTAACCTAAATCAATGAAATCAATGAAAATTAGTTCAATGTACCCTATTAATAAATAAAATGCTTCGCAGAGCCCAGTCTGATTGACCGCAGAGGTCGAACCCTGAACAGTTGGGGCAAATTTGGACACAATATTCAAGCTTGATACTATCTGAATTTGGATTGTGATCAAATTTCTGACATAATATAGGTTTCTGACACAAAATAAATGTGGTCAAAGATCTTACAAATCTAATGTGCAATACTGTGCAATTGAAGATTTCTTCTTGAAACTTTTCAAAAATTAGAAATTCGAAAAATTTGGGGAAAAAAATATGAACCCCTTAAAAAAATGGAACCCCCATCCCCCCAAACTTTTCGAACCCCCTTGGAGCATTAACCATCAAACTCAATCCCAGTCTTTCCTTTGTAGTATGGAACCATTGTAAGAGAGGTAATTATATGCATTGAAATCACAGTATTTGATGTTTCTAGAAACAAAAGCTAAAGTAATTGTCCATTAACCAGGAAACCCTTATTTTCCCCCCTTTTTTGCCCCTTATTCCTAAACAGATTGAGCCATAACCCCCCAAAGCCAATCCTAACCATCCTTTTGTGGTGTGGAAACTTGTGGTACAATTTCAGACAATTCTATACACTGTTCCACAAGTTATTGTCTGGACACAGAAAAATGCTTATTTGGGCCCCTTTTTGACCCCTAATTCCTAAACCATAGGGACCATAACCCCCAAAATCAATCCCAACCTTCCTTTTGTGGTTTCAAACCTTGTGTTTAAATTTCATAGATTTATATTTACTTATACTAAAGTTATTGGCAAATTTCCAATTATACTAAAGTTATTTGCAAATTTTCAATGGAGTTTATTATACTAAAGTTATTGGCAAATTTCCAATGGAGTTTATTAATACTAAAGTTATTGGCAAATTTCCAATATACATAATTTAAAAGCAGTGTAAGTGAGGTAATTCAAATGTGTTAAATTAACCTGGAGTAATTGTCCATTAACCTGGAAACCCTTGTTTTTCCCCCTTTTTTGCCCCTTATTCCTTAACCATTTGAGCCATAGCCCCCCAAAGCCAATTCTTACCATCCCTTTGTGGTATGGAAACTTGTGGTATAATTTCAGAGAGATCCATACACCATTCCACAAGTTATTGTCTTGAAACTAGAAAAATGCTTATTTGGGCCCTTTTTGGCCCCTAATTTCTAAACTGTTGGGACCAAAACTCCCAAAATCAATCCCAACCTTCCTTTTGTGGTCATAAACCTTGTGTTTAAATTTCATAGATTTCTATTTACTTATACTAAAGTTATTGTCCGGAAACCAAATATCTTCGGACGACAACGTGATACCAATATACGACGCAAAAATTTTGCAGTCGAATAAAAAATGAGTTCACAGTAACACTTATAACAAGGTCACTCTCAATTTATGATCAATATTTTTAAGTCCATGATGTTTCAAAAGATGAAATCAATTTATAAAAAACAATAGGCAAGATGAAAGCAAAAAGAACATTTTCCCTGCATTAACATTTTGGTTTAGAGACTATAGTCAATCAGGATAGTCTTCTTATGTTGTCTATAATTATTGACTACGGTAATTCATTGTTGGTTGATTTAATCATTTTCAACAAAATCACATCAATCACTTGTTTGCTTCCACTTATCAACTGCCATGGTCAGCTTTCCGTGTATTTTGTCTTTATTCATACTCATCACATGACACAGCTCACATGAACAGACCACCTGTAAAATAGATAACTCTAAATAGAAACACAGGCTCTCGGTTTTGATATTCAATATACAGTGGATTTATTTATTTTTCATGGGGACCAATTTTTACATGGATAGAGGAAAACTTGCATATTTGTGGATATTTGTTTCATGGATTTGCCAAAGTCTGCATACAACTTTTAGAAAAAGTGATACATGTACTTTTTTTAACATTTATATTTGCGGTTAACCTTTACACACTAAATCCACAAAAAATTGGTATCCATTGAAAAAATCCTGCATCCACAGTACCTTTTTTTTTATTAATTGACAATTTTCAAAGACACAGATCTTCTGGCTAACAATAAAAATTTACTAGTAAATTCTTTGATGTAAATGTCTAGATACCCTTTTTTGTTTGTTTTGTTGTATTGCTGTCTCATTTACATATATCTATATCACATTTTATTCATTTGGTTAGGGAGCTACCATTTGATTTTTATTAGGGGGGGGCTAGGATGAAATTTGAAAAAAAAGGCAAGGCAGGAGTTTTGAGTAAAAAAAAGGCAGGATGAGACACTTTGCAAAAAAAAAAGTCAGGATAAACTAATAAAAAAAAAGGCAGGATCGAATAGAGTGAAAAATAAAAAGGCAGGACAGTGATTACAACTAAAAATAAACAGCTGCGCCATGAGTGCATGATATGTCCGTCGTCTTGTGTGTGAATTTTTATGCAATGATCATAAATAGTTTCTGACATACGCCGCGACATGCGAAAACCCCCCTTTTTTTACAAAAAACTCAATATCTCTAAAATAAAATTTTGAATCAAGACCAAAAAGTATACAGATCTTTAGATTAATATAACTAAGAAGTGTGTAAAATTTTAAGCAATAATCATAAATCGTTTTTGAGATACAGCGCGACATGTGAAGACCCCCCTTTTAAAAAAAAAAAAATCAATATCTCTAAAATAAAATTTTGAATCAAAACCAAAAAGTATACAGATCTTTAGATTAATATAACTAAGAAGTGTGTAAAATTTTAAGCAATAATCATAAATCGTTTTTTAGATACGGCGCGACATGTGAAATTTTTTCATCCTAGCCCCCATAAAAATCAAATGGTAGCTCCCTTAATAATGTCTTTTCATGATTTTATCTATTAGAGAATCTGCTGTTGAAAGCAGATATTAGATCTCTGATTAGCTTAAACAATTTTGAGGTTGTCATACTGCAAGGGCATATTTCAAATTGTTGGAACGTCTATTTTGTTTAAATTTTGTTGCACGGTTCCTTTTTTGACAGATTTGGAAAATATCATGTATATAAGAGTCACTGAGAATCAAACCTCGTCCTGAAATCTTAACCTTACTACTTGAATTTAAAATTGAGGTCAAGGTTAGGTGACAATGACTGGCTTACATGATCTCACCATGAACTACATTCATACAAACATATCATCCTAGGTTAAGTGGGGATAGTTGTCTCATTGGCATTCATACCACATCTTCTTATATCTATATAATTAATGAAAGTTACTTGCAAATTGTTAGTATGGCTATTACCAGAAAAATTAATTCTTGTCTCCAAGAGCATGCATATCTTTGCAGGCAAGACAATGAAACAAAGTTATATATGTAGAAATTGATGACTATTTTTTTTTTGGTGTACGGATTATTTAGATCAATCTCTTTTAGGAAATAAAAGCCAAAATATGTATACTGTGGATTTATTTATTTTTGTGGAAATTTGATTTCGTAGATTTGCAAAAAGTCTGTATACAAGTGTTTAGAAAATGTGTACTTTTGTTCAACATTTAAATTTGTGGTTTACCTTTATATAATAACTATTTCATAAAACAGTACTTGTTGATATTCATAGTTTTTACATAAAATATACATGATATATAGCGAAATTTGAAAGTTTGAATAAAGTAATTTGCTTTGGGAAATGTCTTGATTGTTATCTTTAAGAAATGGTTGAGGATTGTTATAAAAAAAAATGGTTTTAAAGGATTTTTATCCATACCTGAGACTTCCAAAGTAGCACCAGTAATGTATCGACTTTTATCTGATGCCAAAAATACACAGGCATCTGCTATGTCTGCAATACAAACAAAAAGTTTTTATTTTATCCATATTAATGGAGTCTGATACCGTATATACAGGTTCACAGTACCATACTGGCAGTTACATAGTGAAAGGTCAATTAGTATTTGAGGAATCAACTCAGAGGTTAAATTAAATATTTAATCAAGAATATGTGTCCATAGGAACACCATGCCTTTAGCGTACAATCACAATTATGTGTTCATTGAACTAATCTTGGTTAAAACCCTAATTTGACATATATATACATTAAAAAGTTCACATTATAATAAATATTGGAACTAAGTTTAAAGTTGATAAGACCACAATCTATCCAAACCAAAACTTAAACTTGATATAGGGTGACTGACTAACAGACCAATTAACAGACAAATGAATGCACAAACAGGAAAACTATATGCCATGCATATAAATTGTGTAGCATTGTTAATAAATGAGGTTAATGATAGGAGTCCTTCATTTCTGTATTCTTTAAATTTAGGTCATTTTTCTATATTTTTTATTTTTTTGGCCCACTATTCTCGATTCTTTATATTTCATCACCCCATTATTCTATTTTTTTTTAATTTTTTGGGCCTATTTTTCTCTATTCTATATATTTTTTGGCCTTCATTCTGCATTTTGTGTCCATTATTCTCTATTCTGTAAACCCCATCCAGACCCTCATTACTTTAAGTGGGAAGCTCATATGATCCCTCTTGGTATAAAGATATATAAGTATTGGTCACCGTAAATGAGAAATCAACTCAAATGTTAAAACTATATTGGGTCATTAGTCACTGAGTACCAAAATAATCATATAAGGAACAAAAACACGATAGTTACATCAAAAATATATTAATCAAAAACCTGATAATAAATTGTTCAAATAAGGCCTTTGAAAATAGTGGAATTAACTACTTTTGGAGTGTCAAAAACTCGTTGGAAGTACTTGATAAATTGCATGCATATATTGGTGATTTTGAATCTGTTCAAAGTTTTGACTTTTCTACCCTATATACCACTTTGCCTCATATTCTTATTAAGAAAAAATTCACACACCTAATTAAATGGGCATTTAAAAAGTCGGAATGCGAATACATATGTTCAAACTCTTTTAGGTCATTTTTTAGTAGCAACAAACAAAAAAGCTATGTCAATTGGACATGTACATGCTTTGATACTATATCTGCCCTTGAATTTTTACTTGATAACATTTTTGTTCGCTTTGGAGATCCCGTATATCGTCAAGTTATCGGAATTCCAATGGGGACTAACTGTGCACCACTTATTGCGGACCTGTTTTTGTATTGTTATAAGTTACAATTTATGACTAAAATCAGCAAAGACCCATCGAAACAACATCTGATACAAAAATTTAACAATACTTTTAGATATTTGGATGATATATTGGCTCTCAATAATGACAACTTCAGTATGTATACTAAAGAAATTTATCCTGTTAAACTTACTTTAAATAAAGCTAATAATAACAATGACCACTGTCCTTTCCTCGATCTTGATATCTATATCATTAACCGGAAGCTTAATACAAAAATTTATGACAAAAGAGATGATTTTTCATTTCCTATCGTTAATTATCCATTTTTAGATGGTGATGTTCCCTTGTCACCATCTTATGGTGTTTATATATCTCAACTTGTACGATTCGCTCGTGTATGTAACAACGTATTAGATTTTAGCGAGAGAAATTTATATATTACTGAAAAATTATTACACCAGGGTTTTCGATATCATAAACTAGTCAAAACATTTACTAAATTTTATCATCGGTATAAGGACATCATTCGTAAATATAACTCAACATGCAGACATCTTATACGTTCGGGTATTTCACATTCAAACTTTTATGGTAATATTCTTTACAAAGCACAAAATGTCAGTATTCACCTCAAAAGCTAACAAAACCTTTAAACAGACTTATTAAGAAGGGATATAGTTACGATACTGTTGTCAGGTCATTAAAAATTGCATATTTTGGCTTTAATATTGATTCACTTATAGGGTCTTTGCATCGGAATTAAACATATTTATTCTAAAACCAGTTGTTGGCATGACACGGGTTATGTTCTTCTCATATATTTTATGACGGTATAATACTAAACCCCTAACAGGAGGGATTGTGCCTGATATTCATATGATGAAGACATAATCTTTCAATCAGTTTAATTGAGGTCTGGAGCTGGCATGTCAGTAACTGCTAGTAGTCTGTTGTTATTTATGTATTATTGTCATTTTGTTTATTTTCTTTTGTTTCCTATTCTGACATCGGACTCGGACTTCTCTTAAACTGAGTTTTACTGTGCGTACTGTTGTACATTTGTTTTTTCTACATTGGCTAGAGGTATAGGGGAGGGTTGAGATCTCAAAAAACATGTTTAACCCCGCCGTATTTTTGCGCCTGTCCCAAGTCAGGAGCCTCTGGCCTTTGTTAGTCTTGATTCATTTTTAATTTTAGTTTCTTGTGTATAATTTGGAGTTTAGTATGACGTCCATTATCACTGAACTAGTATACATATTTGTTTAGGGGCCAGCTGTAGGACGCCTCAGGGTGCGGGAGTTTCTCGCTGCATTGAAGACCCATTGGTGGCCTTCGGCTGTTGTCTGCTCTATGGTCGGGTTGTTGTCTCTTTGACACATTCCCCATTTCCATTCTCAATTTTACAAAACATATTATGGATATTTGCTGCTATATTTTAAGTTTTCTTAGTATTTTGCAACCATTCTGTTTTTTTTTAGTTGAAAGAGTGTGAAAAGCAGAAAACAGAGAAAAATATAATAACACTGCATGTTATTTTTCAAAAAAGCAAAATGAAGTCTTTCCTTTTAAGTAATATTTGTTAAGATTATGAAACTTTTGTGTAATTATTATTGTATGCCTAATTTCTAGGTTTTATAAAAATGATGCTTAAAACAATGACAATAAAATCATTTATGTTAGTAATTCGTCTGACTGCGATAGCTACCTTCTGGTTCCCCTAGCTTTGTCATTGGTATCAACATCTGTGTAATCTGCATAAGATGTTCTGGTACCTTTTCTGTCATTGGTGTTTTGATAAAGCCAGGTAAAATAGCATTTACTCTTATATTGAATCTGAAAACAAATTTATGTGATAAAGTAAATCTTTTCAGTTAGTTGTAGCATATGGTATATATATATCACTGTTTATACTTATACATTCTTATTTCAAATTACAGTGAAATGCCAAATATCAAACATTTGACCTGCTGCATTTGTTTGCACCTGTCCTAAGTCAGGAACCTGTTGTTCAGTGGTTGTCGTTTTTTTATGTGGTTCTTAAGTGTTTCTCATTACTGGTTTTTTATATATAGATTAGACCGTTATTTTCCTGTTTGAATTGTTTTACACTAGTTATTTTGGGGCCCTTTATAGCTTGCTGTTCGGTGTGAGCCAATGCTCCGTGTTGAAGGCCGTACTTTGACCTATAATTGTTTACTTTTTACACATTGTGACTTGGATGGAGAGTTGTCTCATTGGCACTCATTCCACATCTTCTTATTTCTATATGAAACTGATCTGTCACTGACTTAAAAAACATTTACATGTACTAGCACAAAAGTGTTCCGAAGTTAAATCTCCTTAGTGTTGTGTTTGATTATATCCTCTTTTTTATGTTCAAAGGAGGTTTCAGGGATATGTAAATGATACAGCAACCCAATAACAAAAATAACAAAAAGATTTTTAATCCATAAGAAAGTATTGACATTAGCAATGTCAGATCTTTGATGATGATTGTTAAATTAATTCACTTCTTGTCAAGACTCAGATTTGTCTAAACCCAAACTAAAAGACATACAAATAGTTGTGGATACCTGTATATTTTTTTACTTGTATATGTTACTTACTTTGCTACTTCTTTAGCAGCTGACTTTGTGAAGCCTATCACACCAGCCTTGGATGCTCCATAATTCGTCTGACCAACATTGCCTACCTGTAAATAAGAAGAGATACTGAGTAAGCATTTATGAAAAAAAAACTATAAATGGTACTAAAAAAACATATGAACATGATGTACACGTGAGATACAAAATGATAAATTGCTTGAATTAGGGACTTTTAAAAAAAAAATTGTCCAACAATTGGATGATACAGATAGTAAGTAATGTGTGCTGCAATCTTTTCGGTGCTAACCAATGATAAGATGTTATTAGTAAAATGTACTTCTACTGTTTAGTTCTTGGAAATCTCCAATAGACATGTTACGATTTTCTAACAGGGAAATTTTGCTGATACATTATAATTAGGCATCTGTTAATACCACTGGAATTCCTAATTTATATGTCAATATCATGAAAAAATATGGCAGACATGGCAAGATGGTAGAAATCCCATTTACTCTTATAACTATAAAATATACACTGAAGTAACATTAATTTTTCTATGATAACCAAGGCCTATTTCAAAAAAAAAGAATTATGTTTTCAAATTCAAAGTAGCCAAGTGTAAGAAAATCATTATTTCCAAATTTAAAAAAAAAGTTTTAAATCATCTGAATGACTAAGTTTAGAAAATTTAAGTAAGAAATAGTCTCCAAATTTTTTTCTACAAAATATTATTTTTCATGATTTTAATTTACTTAAAAATTCTATGGAACTGAGCCACAGGATTCTATGCAGTATATACAATAACTTAAGCAAGAGATGTATGTAGTCTGCTTGATAAATTATAATAAGGGCTTATAAGATATGTCAATTTCACAATGCATAAAAATTTGGTGGACTTTTAGAGAGTTATTTCCCTTATATGTGTTTATACAAAACCTTAGTGATGGATATTTGTCAGTTTAATCTAAACTGTCTCATTATCATCATAACAGTCAGTGCTAGATAAAGTCAAAATATTTGATTACACACATTGTTTTCTTAATATAAATATTACACATTTTTAAACAAGATAAATATGTCAGCTTTTACTCGCTAATGATACCAATTCAATAAGAATTTGGCAAACAATATGTTTAAATTGCTTAAATGAGCAACAAATGTAAAAATGCATCCAACCATATTAAAAGCATGTTCACTTATAGCTAAATGATAGCAAATTACAGTTAGTCCTGAATTGTAGTCCCAAAAATACAACGAAAATTTCATACATGGTCATTATGACAGTGTATGTGTAAGAAAATTGAGGTATTGAGTACACTTAAATCTGATAAGAGAGAGCGTGAAAAAACATTATAAAGTACAGCATACTCACATGAAGCCTGAAACAAAATTCAGGAAGTAGTTTCTGAAAAAAGGCAACAAATATTTCATGGAATGGACGGACACACACTTAAAACAGATTTAGCCCATCCTTTTGAGCTGGGTAAAACAACATAAATTTTTTAAATATACTTATATCAGTTTCCTAATAAAATGAAACATAATAAAATACCTTCCCAACAATACTTGATAGATTAATAATGGATCCACCACTTAATTTGTTCTCTACAATGGCTTGACTGACTGCTTTGTTTAACAGATATGTTCCCTGAAATAAATGGGAGATAACTCAATACAGATTACTAAGACATGCTTCTTTTCATTAAACAAATGTCTAAAAGACAACCTCAATCTCTCTGAGTGAGAGCTTGGGATAAAATTATTTGATGTGTTTCCTAGAATATACATGTAGAGAGTAGATCTTTAAAATTCTGAGCTCTTTCACCTCCTGTGGGTGTGCATGCCTCGTTATAATAAATGGGAGTTACCTCTGTATCAATTTGATTCTGAACATTACAGATAATTTTCTAACAGGCCTTGCTTCGAATATTTTCTGAAATAACTGGAAGATAATATTGTAATCAGATCACATCATAATCCTAAATCAAGTTAAACCATGTGATGGAACATTTTTCTTTGAAGATGAAAAGTTCTTTAAAGCCTAGTTTAAAGCATAGAGAGATACATCTGTCAGTTTGTCGGGAATCTTTGTGTTTGATAATTTATGAAATAAGATATATATTTAATTTAACTAAACTTCTATTGTATAAAGGAGATAGTCCGGGAAGGGCTAGTTTTGGCCTCAAATTCGAAGTACATTGGATGAAAGATTTTTGACATTTTTTAAACACTTAAGTGTCTACTTCAGTCAATTCAATTAGTATGTGTAAAAGATTTGAAATGATTTGGTCATTACAGAAGTTCATATTCAAGCTTAAATATGAAAAATTTATCAAATAAAACATCACTTTTCAGATGGTTTTTGTTTAAAATGGAAGTGGCCGCATTCGTGTTCAGCATGTTCAGTCTCAACCTTTATATATCTTATGTATTATCATCAAATACAACATATATCTAAATATTAAGACTGAACACAAATGCGGCCACTTCCATTTTAGACAAAAACTGTCTTAAATTAGCACAAATGCTACAATTGTGAAGATTTCAGTAATTTTGCATGAATTTATGATGCTATTACCTGATGCATGTGCATTGTTTTGTCAAAAACTGCCCATATTTATGGAACAAAAGTATTCTACTTTCTAATAAAGAGCTTAAAGTTTACATTTCAACAAATTTGTAAAAATGCTATATTTTGGGGTCAAAAAGGGGTCTTACCGTGCCTACTGCTTTAATTTTTACAAAATGAAATTGGTCAGAATTTGGATTGACTATTTCAAATAAACTAATTTAACCCTGTCACATGTTTATTTGCTTGTCCCATATCAAGAACCTATTTAGTGATTGTCTTTTGTGATATCTTGTGTTTTTGTCCCTTAGGTAATTTGGTGTTGACGACAGATGTTTGGTGGTGTCTGTTGGATTCATTCCTAGCTTTTTTTAAACTCAGAGGAATTAAATGATTGAAAATTAGTATAGATACAAATGTATTGTTGAAGACAGAATGTTGACCTGTAGGTTTCTATTGTTTTTCTAAGTTGTTTGCAGCTGTCTTGTTGACATATACCCGCCACTCTTTCTTTTGTTTTAATTCTTTAATTCTTCTTTAGTACCTTTAAATTGACATTTATTACTTCATCCCACATTTCCTCTTTCATTTTTAACATGTATGTATCTCTTGTGATTCCAGCAGAGTTAACAGCAATTGTAGGGACTGCCATATATCTATCTCTGATATCAGTCATCAATGTGGCTACTGATGCTGAGGATGAAACGTCAACAGTAAAAGGATGATGATGTCCTGAAGGTAATATGAACAAAGAAAATAAAATAATGTGATAAAACCATTACAAATGTGAAATTTTGCCTAATGTACTATGTGACCTATCAAAGCCAATAAACACCTGCTAAGGAGTACAGGTATATAAATCTAGCTTATAATACAGTAACTAAAATAACATACATTTATCCTTGGTTTAGTGAATTTAAAAAGGCCTTAAAACTGGCTGTCTCAATACTACTTCAAACAAATAAAATGTTGCTTTTCTTGGCAGTTGTTTCACAGTACTCTGTACAGTGTATACTTATTTTTACAATGGATCTAAAGGGATGACTAGGGTATAGAAATATGGTCACCTGGACGTCTTCCAATCAGGCTAAAAAAACATTTGCTAAATTGGGTGTACTTTGGCTGTGCAGGATGTACATGTATAAAAACACAGAGACATCCTGTCAGAATGTGGATGTAAAATTTGAAGCCTTGAGTAGTGGGAATGCCACCTTCTCTGCATGTAATAGAACCATTAAAACAACTTTCTGATGGATAATAGGTAGCCTGTTGCAATGCATAATTTCTGTCCCCTATCCAACATATACGCATTTTAAGTGGTAGTCCAAATTTCCAGCCGTTCATACCATTACAGAACCTAGCTACCTATTGGATTCAGTATTAACGGTTTTTCGTCCTGAATATGCATGAAATATTTTAGCTAATAACAATCAATCAATTAGTATTGTTTGAATGTAGTCATTTGGTGATTTATAAATTTCGGTAATTGGACTTATCAAAAGATTATAAGTCTTGGTAAAATATAAAACATGACAAAAAATGTAACTAGGTTGTCGTTTGTTGATGTGGTTCTTAAGTGTTTCTCGTTTCTCGTTTTTTTATATAGATTAGACCGTTGGTTTTCCTGTTTGAATTGTTTTACAGTAGTCATTTTGGGGCCCTTTATAGCTTGCGTACTTTTACCTTTATTTGTTTACTTTTTACACATTGTGACTTGGATGGAGAGTTGTCTGATTGGCACTCATACCACATCTTCTTATTTCTGTTTATAAGACTTATAAAAAATAAGGATATGTGGTATGATTGTGAAAGAGGTGTTTATAACATTTGTTTATTTACATATCAAGATTAAGACAATGGAACATGAAAGCTTCATTAATTTACCTTCGCTAATTGACTTAAGCATTTCATGTACATGGTGTACTCCATCTTTGTTTACATCAGCCATAGCAACCATTGCACCTTCCTTTGCAAATGCCTGACATATTGCTCGCCCAATACCACTACCAGCGCCTGATTACAAAAAAAATATGTACTATTATTTTTCAATTAATATATTTGAAACATTTATTGCATTTATTACAGTTCATACATTTTCCCATTAAAGCAGTCCGGCCTCCTCCATCAATAAAATCTGAACAACACAATATTATAGCTTATGGTGCTGAAATAGGCATTAAACACCAATAATTACTCAATCATAAATTCTAGTAACAAAACTGATTCAATAAATGAGATATCAAATTTATTTTACCTAATAATCTTATATAAATTATTGATACAATACAACTGAACTGCTTACACATATATAATGTATATCTGTACTCTGCAAGAGTTTCATATGACATCCCATTTATATACCAACGAATGCAATGACCTTTATATACAATTAATTCTGTGGGGTGCCATATGGAACTCTTACCCTGTACTACATTGGAATTCCAAGGTTTTATCGTTTAACTTTTGTATTAAGATTGAATTTGTTCATTCAAAATTAAGTTCATAAAAATTACACAACCCCCTAAGTCTTCATTGAAATATCCATCTTTTGCTGCATGTTTGGAATTCTGGTTTAGATTAAATGATTGAGGAACAGAGTAGTACCGGTACATAAAAAGGATAACATACAGGATTTACAAAAAATCTGCATTACAGAACAGACCAAAACAACTACATGTTGCTATATACTAACAAACATCCAACCCTCTGAAGATAGATGTACAAAAAATGTACAAACAACAAATAAAACATGATGCAGATAGCCCAACTTGTCAATATAATGGAATTTTATATGACTATCATACAAGTAAGAGGTTTAGCAAGCTATAAAACCAGGTTTAATTCACCATTTTCTACATAAGGAAATGCCTTTAACAAGTCAGGAATATGACAGTTGTTTTCCATTCGTTTGATGTGTTTGAGCTTTTGACTTTGCCATTTGATAAATGACTTTCCGTTTTGAATTTTCCTTGGAGTTCCGTAATTTTGTTATTTTACTTTTTGGTACAGGCACAAAATATGTTGGCTGTTTTAAAGGTTCACAATTAAAGCTTCCCATTGCCTAACTAGACAATATGTTAAAGAAAAACACACAATAAAAATATGCACATGCATGCAGTGCAGCTTCTAAAATTTAATTTTGTCTCTGTAGTGGTGCTTCTCCTGTATATAGTTCTAATTTATTATAAGCCAAGCGAGTAAAACACAGATCTATAATAATTACTCCTGATAGATATATAACAGCCCTCCACTACCTCAGGTTTTTGAGCTGTGGATTAATGCCAAAAGGGGTCTGGGGTTTGAACCCTGGCTGGTACAAGATGCAGTAGAAATTTTGGATGCAATGATCATGCTATAATGGTAAATGTATTTTGTACAATGTATATTTGAAAATCATGGCCAATAACACAAATTAAATGTATTTTTGAAAGTAAAACCATCATACAGATACATGTATATGCCTCTGTATGTATACAGCTATATCTTTTTTGAAGTAATGTATAGAATATTGTTGAACAAAAAGTGGGCAAGGTATCTGAAATTTGAAACCGGGTCTGTTCTCCCTGATTCACGTTTGCCCTTGTACCTGTTCGCCCTTGGTCTGTTTGCCTTACCTGTTCGCCCTGGGTCCGTTCGCTCTGAGCTTTATTTTATTTTGTTGTATATTATACGTCTTGTTGTATAATGTAGAGTATATGTTAAAGTTTGATCAAAATTTCGCCGGATATTGATCATATAATTAAATATCTGAATAAGTTTAGTAAACCTTATTCCACTATATCAAATTTGTTTTAAAGTAGGGCGAACATGTTATCAGGGCAAACGGACCCGATACCATGAAATTCTTCTTCTTCCAAGTAAGGAACCCAGGTCTGTCAAGTTTTCATGAAGCCAATGCGTGAGATTTAGAAAAAGTGGTAAAGATCAAAGAGAAAATACTATAGATCAATGGAAAATGTCACCAAATAAGCATGAAAATGCATGAGTCACACGCACATTGCATTGTGTGACAGATTTGACTGCACTGGGATCCAGATTCAAAATTTAAATGTACATGGTTCTGCGCAAAAACTTTGCACAGTGTCAGGCAACACAGAAAGTTCTCTCTTGGCAATTTACAAGAGCGATCGATACATATATAAGTATATATGTTTTTCTTTTCAAAATTGGATTTTGTTCCCCTGCCATGCATATAAGTGGCCTTAACTTTGTGCTGTCCATGTACATTTACTAAATTTATGCTATTAAAGATGAAGTTACTGTTGTAATTTGTATAAATCTCAGATAATTAGGTTTCATAGAGTTTATGTCCCAGGTTTTAATTTAGCTTAAATTGAGACTACTATAAATGTCCAAGCATAATATTCTATACAGTAGAGCTAAGCGAAAAAAAAAGAGACTTTGGTGGGAAATGGCACTGAAATTTACCAGTTACAAGCGCAAGCTTTCCTGCGAGCATTTTCATTGACAGAGAGGTCTTATCGTCCTATATTTCTATTTTAAGAACCGGAAACCAAACTTGGGGAAACCCCATCCGGGTCGTTGTGATGGACGCCCCCATGACACACATCAACATGAAATATTTATCATATTTATTTTAGGTTTCTACGGTATATGTAGTTCTCTGACAGACAGAAATGGTAACTATATTTCAAATCCCTGATGCCTTTCCTTATTTGAAAAAAATATGTTTCATTTCAGCGCGTAATTCATGATTTTGAGCATTTTATATATAAAATTATTAACAATAAGAAGATGTCGGGGATAGCCTATTACTATGTCTCTGGTTATTCAAACGAGAAAACTTAACAATTGTAGTCACCTCGGCACCTGGTAACCCTATTTAATTCGGCACCTAGTTGAATCTGGACCCAAGATTTTTATATTTAGATATAAGAAGATGTGGTATGAGTGCCAATGAGACAACTCTCCATCCAAGTCAAAATTTATAAAAGTAAACCATTATAGGTCAAAGTACGGCCTTCCACACGGAGTCTTGGCTCACACAGAACAGCAAGCTATAAAGGGCCCCAAAATTACTAGTGTAAAACCATTCAAATGGGAAAACAAACGGTCTAATCTATATAAAAAACGAGAAACACTTATGAACCACATCAACAAATGACAACTACTGAACATCAGCTTCCTGACTTAGGACAGGTGCAAACAATTGCAGCAGGATTAAACATTTTAATGGTACCAAACCTTCACCCTTTTTCTGAAATATTAGTGTAGCATCACAACATAGAAAGACACACTATAAAATATCAACCGAAATGGCTTAACTCAATTAAAGGACATATTAACGGTAAACGGACAGAAAGTCACAGGACAAAAAGTCACAGGACATAAAGTCACAAATTTGATAGGACAAAAAGTCACAAATAATTTGTTGACAATTTTATGAATGTATAAGAGAAAGATCTTGAAATAATTTCTTTTTATTACATATATTCATTTTTAAGTTTAGGAAATTGTTCATAAGCCTTGATAAATGAAAATTTATTGAATTTTAATCATGCAAAGGATACATTTCTTGGCACAATGAAGCCTTTTAAGTACCAAGCCACTTTAACATTTTGTTTTCATAGCAATTATGTGATCATTATTGATATTTATTGAATAAATTTTAATTACAAAGTTGCTTCATATATAAGACTTCAAGAAAAAAAAAAAAAATTTATTAAATTAGTGTTTTCTTGATTAAAGAAAAATAATCTCAAAACTGAATTGTGACTTTTTGTCCTGTGACTTTTTGTCCGTGACTTTTTGTCTGTGACTTTTTGTCCTGTGACTTTCTGTCCTACATTCATATTAACATAGTGAACATACACTGAACAAATAAATTTGACCTATGATACAATGTAAATACAAAATAAATAAACTAAGGGAAGAATAATAAAAGTAACATGTTATACCGCTATGAAATGTTAAACAATTTAAGAAAAACAATATGCTAGAACAAAAATATCAGCCATTTGCAATTACTTTAAACACAGGTAAATGAAAATAATTTTGTTGTTAGGTATATGTGTACAGTTCAAATAGAGAAAGGAAATATTTTTACAAAATAAATAATTTTGATGTTCATAGTACGAAGTGAAAATTTATAGTAATACCAAACACCATGAATTCTACTAGCAATGTGCAGTATCCATGTCGGTACATAGGATTGTTCACTATACGTATACGGAACCCTTGACCAGACAGTATATTGCATATTGCTAGTAATCAAACAAAAGTTGATATCGATGCCACCGTTATTTATTCTACACAATTCAAGTAGACAGGAAATGCAGAAAAAAACAATTTTAATAACACTGATTAAATGTATTTTTATTACGGATTAAACAACAGCTTGGGTAGGATAAACTGGTGCAGTTTCAACCAGACCAAAAGGAGAATTTTGACTGGCACATTGTTTACCCATGTGACGGATTGCTTCCCTTCAGTGGTAGATAATTAGTCAGCCGTTAAATAAAGCAGTTGAGCTAAGGAAGTACTTCTTTAGCTCAGTCGGTTAGAGCGCTGCCTTGTAACACAGAGGCCCCAGGTTCGAGTCCCGGGGGAGACTATGTGATTTTGCATTGAGAATCATGATCTCTGGTTACATTTGGTGCCCAACTAAAAAACCCACAGTACATGCAGTAGTTAGAGTGGAGTTGTAAGAGTCATCATGGTATGATGACTCTTGAGGTGGGGGAAGTGTGATAGGATTGCTTCCCTTGAATAGTAAATACTTAGTCAGCTGTAAAAGGTTGAGCTAAGGAAGTACTTCTTTAGCTCAGTCTGTTAAAGCGCTGCCTTGTAACACAGAGGTCCTGGGTATGAGTCCTGGAGGAGACAGGCAATTTTGTAATGAAAATCATGCTCTCCGGTTACATCCGATAGAATCTTCTAATGTATACATATCCTATGTTTTATAATATTATATTATATATTAATTATGAAACATCTTAAAATACCTGAAATTGTTAAAACAACAAATAGGTAATTTTTTTTGCTTGGTATAAGTTCTTAAGTTAGAATATTGAGAAGAAATAAAAACATCTAATAAATTTATTGTTCTTCATTGTTTATTTTATAACAATGTAGAATTACTAAAGGCAACAGTAGAATACCGGTGTTCAAAAGTCATAAATCGATTGAGAGAAAACAAATCCGGGTTACAAACTAAAATCGAGGGAAACACATCAACTATAATATGTATAAGAGGAAAACAAAGGAACAACAGGAACACTGAAGTGCAACAAAAACAAACGCCATAGAAACAAACTATTTGATAACAGCTGCCATATTCCTGACTTGGTACAGGACATTTTAAGAAAAAATGGTGGGTTGAACCTGGTTTTATGGCTAGCCAAACCTCACGCTTACATGGCAATGTTAAAAAATATATCGCTAAAATGACAACACTACGTGACAGAAATACAGCACAAACACTCATCACAGAGAAAATTTACCTATTTCAATAACCTCTAAAATTGTCAAAAATATATATAAAAAAATCATGTTCCCCATATATATATCAAAGATATTTGTATAGCACTATACAAATCCTTTCCCATACCTCTAAACAAATGCTAAATAGCTATATATAGGAAAGAAAAAGGTTTAAAAAATATTAGGTGTCGAAATGACTTTATATACATGAATGATATAGGTGCCAAATCGACCAGGTGCCAATTTGACTTGTACCCAAACTTAAACTGCCTGATTTTTGTACAAAACAATAAACTAAAAACAAATATGATATACAGCAATAAACGACAACCACTGAATTACAGGCTTCTGACTTGGAACAGGCACATACAGAATGTTGCAGGGTTAAACATGTTTTAGGGGCGGACAGTGGTGTAACACATACAAATTAAACAAACTATAGAAATTAGTTGAAAAAGGCTCAACTCATTAGATCTATACAAAGTACATATAAAACCTACCAAAAACACAAAAGACACAAAGTACAGATCTGAAAGTACTCATAGCTACTGTTCAAAGCCAATCACAACTAATAAAAAAATCATGTGTCTGAGACTAAAATATCAATCAGTACACATCCAAGATAAGTCATTTGTAAGTATAGTTCAGATAATAAGATAATTGATAAGATAAGAAAATCTTTATTTTAGACTCAAAAGGTCCATATATATAAACATAATATATTCATGACACAAAATATTTTGTTTAAACAGGATACAATGTTTAAATATTTACACAGTATTATAGTTAAAATTTTAGATATAACAGGAGTGTGTACTGATCTAGTCTAAGATTGTTCTGGTATCTGAGATCTTTGAAAAGATGCAACCTTTTGGGGCTGTTTTTGCCAACTCAGACTTGCATAAATTTTGTAGGCAAGTTTCTGTCTGAAAATCGTACATGTATTGGATCCATTTTCAGGTAGACACATCATACATATCATTTGATTCCTTAATTTTTTCCATGAAAATGTACCTTTAATTTGTGTACTTATCCTGCTTATACCCTGTGGATAAAAGGTACTTTTTTGTGTAGAAAAATGAATAAGAAATTGAAAGATATACGATGTAGTGAAATAATTTAACTACCTGAAATTAGTCTGAGATTGCTCTGGTGTCTGACGTTCAGCCTTTTTAAGCTTTGTTGGGGCTGTGGGACCTCAGAATTCAGTCCATATAGAAAACATGGAATTTGCTGACCTAGACCTAATGGGACAAGTTTCCACCTAATATTTATAATAGATCCAGTTTCGTTGAGTAGACCATCCATGCATCATTCTATTGCTAATTCATTTTACTCCATATGTATACGTATATCATAATTACAAAATGTCCAAGAGAAACAATTAACAATGTATTGAATTCTTATAATGTATCAGGATTTTGTGTAAGCACTCTCACACTTACACTTTTATAAAATTTATATCGGAAGATTAACATCAGCAAGGTCTTGTAGTATACATGTATACATGTAGATGAAAAAGTTTAAGAAAACAAAAAAATATGGCCCTCGGACAGACACATGTAGGATACAATGTATGTGCATCTGCAGAGGACATTATTGTGATTAAAAATGATCAAATTCATCTTTTTGCCATTACTAAGAAGCTCTAAATGCAAATGTTAATACATTAGCTGACAAATTAACCATCATGTAAAGTACATGAATGTATGTTTTTTGTACATTTCAGGGAACCCCAGTAAAAGATGTGACAATACCAGACAGTGCCCTGAGGTCCCTCATTCTACAGAAACATTGTGATTATATAGCTTCATATGGGACTAAGAAAGATGATTATGTAAGTAAATAAATGTATAGAAGACTACAAAAGCAGTTACATGTATGTATCTCTTAATATTAAAGAAAGAGATATTGAGTACATTTTTATAATCATGATAATGCATCTACCAAACAAATGTAGGTAATCTAAAAAGAGACACCAAGCAGCTACCATATATTGTTATACATCCACCAAACAGTCTAGGTTCACCTAAAAAGAGACACCAAGCAGATCCCATATATTATTATACATCCACCAAACATTGTAGGTTCACCAAAATGACATCATGAGGCTCTATCAGCTATTATTACCATAAATTCAGAAGTTTTTGCATTTTTTTATTATTGCAAAAAATTGTGACTGAATAGCATTAATAGGTTTTGCAAAAAGAAAATTTGCATTTTAAATTTTGATAGCATTTCCCATAATCTCAATAATTTATCTTGCTTTTTTGTTGGCTTTTCAACGATCACAATAATAATGCCATGAAAAATTTATACAATAAAATCTGATTTCAATGCAGTCACCACATCTGGCTTACTTTTTGCGCTATGCAGAAGATTCACACTTTGATACTGAAATAGTAAAAGTAGTGACCCCTTTAAATTTTGATATCAATAAAACAGAAATTGAAGTACAATGTAGCAATAAAATATTAGTTTTAAAAAAGAATTTTAAGGACAGGTTTTTGACTGTCGCCTAATGTCTTCTTTGTAAAGCTTTTTTGCATCATTGTTCCCAGATTCAATAACTTGCTTACCTGTTATCGTATCAGAAATGACTTTTTCTAATGTTTTATAATAAAATTTTATTTTCAAAATTAAACATTTTATAATTTTGGCAGCAAGAGGTTATTTGAAAATGTTCCTTATACTGAGTTATTGGTATCTTTAATTTTCAAGGAGACTAATGAATTTCATTGTCAATCACTTTAAGATGATAGCCAGTGCTGTTTGTCCAAATAAAAGTCTGCATTTTTCTGCAATACATGCATAACATTTTCAGGGGTTCACCTTTCATGTCTTTCTCATGTTAATGTCATAAAAGTGAATTTTATATTCTGAGGCAATGCATTGTTATTCCATTCATTGATTTTGATATATGGATTATTAATTGACATTAGTTGGAATGGATTGGAGATGTGGAGATCTCAGTATAAAGTAAGTAGATGTGGTATGATTTCTAATGAGACAACTATCCACTAGAGACCTAATGACATGGTTGTAAGCAACTTTAGGTCAATATACAAAATACTAAACAAATACCAAAAGCTTTTAAAGGCCCCACATGACAAATAGTGAAACAATTTAAATGATGAAACCAGTGGTAAGATTTGTGCTAAAACAATATACTAGAACTAATATGGTGGGGACAGCAACCATTGATATCAGCTGTATTACTGTGGATTCATTTATTTTCAAGGGAAAATTTTCCTGGATTGAACAAAAAACTTGCATTTTCATGGATATTTGATTATTCATGGTTTTGCCATATTCTACATATAAGACTATAATAAATTTGTAATTCGTTGAACATGTAAAATTCATGGTTCACCTGTAACCACTAAATCAACGAAAATTGGTACCCCATGAATAATAATGAATCCACACTTAATATGTTTTTGCAGGAGTATTGTATCACAGAGTATCTACGTATGAGTGGGATGTACTGGGGACTAACAGTTATGGATATGATGGGACAACTGGACAGAATGAACAAAGATGAAGTTATACAATTTATACAGCAATGTCAACATGAGTGTGGGGGAATTGGTGCCAGTGTGGGTCATGACCCTCATTTGCTCTATACTCTGAGTGCTGTGCAGGTGAAGTTTAATTTTATGAATTAAAAATTAACTACTTCAGATAAACTTCTAGATTTTGGAAAAAGAAATCATACAGGACCTTTTACTTTCCTTAGTTTAAAACTACTAATTTTATAAACAAATTCTTATAGAAAAAAACACTTGTAAGTCATTTTAGCACAACTTAAAGTGGTTTAATACATGATCCAAATGTGATGACAAGATTTTTGTAAAAGAGCCACTGGTTTAGTTTCTTAAGGACTTAATGAATATTTATTCTAAACAATTATTAAGGTGCCCGGTCACCCTCATGCATATATATATATATATGGCCTGATCAAACTTCAAAATTATCTCAGATTTTCCACTCCACATACATTTTGTAATATGATTTAACCTATAAATTTACTGATGATTAAGTAAATATGTTAAAGTAATCACTGACAGATAATGTGTATTAAATGTGTTTATTAATCCTCTTATTCATTGTTTAATATCAAAGAAGTACATATACAATTTTTATATCCTGCTTTTTACAGATTTTGACCCTGTATGATGCTACAGATACAATAAATGTAGACAAAGTCGTGGATTATGTAAAAAACTTACAGCAGGATGATGGTAGTTTCTATGGTGATAAATGGGGTAAAAACCTTATAGAAATATTAATGTTATATAAGAATTGCATTAAAATTACAACTGTTTAAATTTTTTTAGTCAAAATTGTTTCTCTTACCATTAGTGATCGCAAATACAAGCAGTATAAATACCCCATTGGAATTTTTGTAACTAGATTAAAATCACAGTTTCCTGCCGAAGGTCATCAATTCTCTCCAGGCACAATGGCTCCCACAGCCAATAACAACTGGTGTTATATAAAATGCACATATATCCAAATAGTGCTGAAAGTGGTGTTAAACATAAATAAATCAATCAATCAATAAAATCACGAAGAACATAATTGTACTTTTGTTGACTCATTTGTAGGATAAAAAAAAAGTAACTGTCTGTAATCGATAGTTGATTGGCTTGAGTGCTACTTGGCAATGGCTCAATAAAACATCTGTCAAAACACCACTTTTGAGTTCCAGCGGCACTTTTCACAAAAAATCTCATAAGTAAAAATATTTGTAAGTCATGAACATTTCAATATAACTTACAATCAATTTTAGTCAAGTGATTTTTTTGTGTAAAGAGACGCTGGATCTTTAAATAACAATTGAACTTAATTTTGTATCTGTTGACCTAATATGAGGTTTGCAAAACGATTGCTTTTGGTCTTTGGTTTTTCATTTTCAGTGATATTTAGATGATCAGCTTTCAATGGTGTAATTAAATTCAGTGTAAAGGAAGACTGAATGGTGCTTAATCATGGAAGGAATAGGCTAACATGATCTTGGGATGATATTACAAATAACGTTTTAACTTACTTGTAGGGGTCTCCATAGCATGACAGATAGCTTGATAGATAGCTTAATAGATAATACTGACCTTCAACTTCATGAGAAAACAAAAATACTTTGTATGACTATAAATATGAATAAAAGAAAATGTAAAGGGAAAGGAAATGCAGAGTAAATGTATACAAGACAGCAACCCAATGACAAAAACTACCAAAAGACATCTAGAGGAGAACATACAGTCCTCAGCATTGTTAGGTGTCTATACAGTATGTCATGCTCTTAGTCTATAAACCATTTAAACTTCTATATAAATAAAATTAATAGATGTGTTTTGATGACAGAAAACATAATTATGAAACTGCTAATTGAAAAAAAAAACTTTTATTTAACATTCTATTTTTTACAGGGGAAGTTGACACCCGATTTTCATTTTGTGCTGTTGCCTGTTTAGCTTTATTAGTAAGTATTTTATTCAGTTTGGTATAAATGATTGAACAGCAATACTAACAAGCATTAGCAGGAGTAAATTCTTTTGATTAAAAGATAGCTGGACGCCAGACTTTCCTCTTGTGATTCCTGGTTACACGTTTCTTATTAGTAATCAGTTATATTTGAACAGTTGTGTATGACTCTGATGGACAGTGTATCATTCTATTCTGTTAAATACCTGATAAATGTGGGGTGTATTCTTTGGATTCCTCATTCATTTTTAGCTCTCCTGGCTGAAGGCCAGTATGTGTTTTTATACGCCGTTTACGGGACGTATTATGGTATACAGTTGTTCGTCTGTCCGTCCGTCTTCAACATGTCGGACAATAACTCAAAAACACTTTCAACAATTCGCATGAAACTTTGGTGAATTGTTTATATCCATTGACGTGAGCTCCCTTTCATTTTTAATAAATTTTAGATTTTAATATAAGTTTCCGAGTTTTGGGCTTTTATACGACCCCAAAATTTTTGACTATAAATATGAATAATGATAAATATATAGGCAAAAACTGCTATACATGATCTACAGAAATGATCATATTATCAAGGATTCATAAATGATTTTTTTTTCCATTTTATTGTTTCTTTCTTTCACCTTGAAAACTATAATAGCTAGACATCACCTGTAAACAGTAAACCAATTGATATAAATTTAAGAATAACAGACTAAAATTGATCATAATAAAAATATAATTTACTTTGTGACATCAAAACTCAGACTACATACACATTTATCAAGTTCAGATCATTTTTTTTTAGAAAAGACTTGATGCAATAGACATAGAACATGCAGTAGAGTTTGTGTTGACCTGTATGAACTTTGATGGTGGGTTTGGCTGTAGACCAGGAAGTGAATCTCATTCAGGACAAATTTATTGTTGTGTTGGAATGTTAGCTATTGTAGGACAACTTCATCATATAAATGCAGATTTATTGGGTTGGTGGTTGTGTGAAAGACAGCTGCCCTCTGGTGGGCTGAATGGTAAGTGTAAATAGGAGAATATCAAGATAGTTGTTGTTTCAATTTGGGAGTTGAAAAGTTATATCATATGACATTTTTCTATGCATACGCCTAGTATTTCACACAAGCAAATTAGGCATGTTGATTGACTTAAATAGATTTCTGATGTTATTATGTAACTTTTTTGTGTAAAATGAAAACATACACATTTGAAGGGAAATTTTATAGTAAAGGTGTAATACCACCAAATCATAGTACGTCACATCCGGTTGCATACGAAAAAGGGTTGAAAAAAAAATTTCCCTTGAATTTGACAGTTGTAGGAAATTAATCCTACATTTCATTGCAGTAAAAAAAATTCTGAGTCATAAACATATATCTTGGGTGTTTCAAAGCACCATTATTTTTTTATTTGGTGTTTCTATAGAATATTTTGGAAACTTGAGATTACATGGTTACTAAAGCTTGTACACCGGAAAAAAAGGGGTGACAATTTGATTGGTTAACTTCCAGTGATGGTTATTTCTTATATGCAATGAAATGTTATGTGAAATTTTGTCTATAGTACTGGACAGGATAAAACTTTACTCATGCCAAGTATTTCTTTATTTGAAACAAAGATAAATTCTGGACAATTTTTTGAAAAGTGCAAATTTGACAAAGACTAATAGGGGAAAAACTGGTGGTATTACACCTAAAGTGTATTACTGTAAGTTAAGAAATTGTTGTGTTCATTTATTATTGCAATTGTTGAAAAATTGTCAAAAAAACGAGATTTATAAATGCAATTTCAGGAAATGGTGCATACAAAAAATGCTGAAAAATTGAAATGAGAGTTTTAATGCCCCTGCCCTTGTCCATCTGTATGTCCGTCCATCTAAGTCTGTACATCCCAAAATTGGTTTCCCCACTTTAACTTTAGTTTGCCTCAACCAAATGTTATGGGGAGCCTCGGTGGCCGAGTGGTCTAAGTAGTTAAGTCTCCCAAACGAAGTTTGGGAAGACTTATTGTTTTTGCTCAGTTCTTATTATTATTATTATTCTTCTTCTTCTTCCTCTTCCGCCGCTTTTAAATTTGAACTTGTCCGCACCCGTTCTCCAAAACCGCTTGTCAGATTAACTTAGAGTTTCACAATATGTTAGACTAACATGTCTAGTGGTGCAATCAGGGTTTTGTTTGTTCAATGGGGTTTATAAAGGGGTACTTTGAGGGGCAAAAAGAAAAGAGGGTTTTACTATAGAACCCTATGGGATTTTATTTTTTTAAATTTTCAAATGAGTATAAATTGAAAACATTTGTGATAGACACAATCTATTTAATTGAAAATGTTCTAATTGATAAAGCACATTTAATGAAATACAGGGTTAGTCCCCAGGGGTCACCCCCACCCCCTGCCATTTAAAAAAGTTCTAATACCTTGTAAGTGGTCAAGATCCCCACCCCTAAACCATATATATTTTGGTTTGTCATGCTAAGATGGTTTGAATGATATACAGGGTTAGTCCCCAGGGGTCATCCCGACCCCCTGCCATTTGAGAAAGTTCTAATATCTTGTAAATGGTCGAGATCCCCACCCCTAAACCATATATATTCTGGTTTGTCATGATAAAGCACATCAAATGTAATACAGGGTTAGTCCCCAGGGGTCACCCCCCACCCCATGCCATTTAAGAAAGTTCTAATATCTTGTAAGTGGTCACGATCCCCACCCCTAAACCATATATATTCTGGTTTGTCATGCTAAGATGGTATGAATGATATACAGGGTTAGTCCCCAGGGGTCATCCCGACCCCCTGCCATTTGAGAAAGTTCTAATATCTTGTAAATGGTTGAGATCTCCACCCCTAAACCATATATATTCTGGTTTGTCATGCCAAGATGATTTGAATGATATACAGGGTTAGTCCCCAGGCATCACTAATGCATATAACTTTACTGGACCAAACCAATTTTCACTGGACTTTGCCCAATGTCAGGCGACCCTGGGAATTACGAATTATGGGAGCTTCGTTTGGGAGACTTCGTAACAGCATCCTGTTACAATCATTTCTTGTTACTACTGTAATCACTAGCCAGTCAACACTGAGGTTGCACTCGACTCCAATCTTAATTGACTAGGATTGTCAGTTTTCCTATCTAAGGTCGGTGGTTTTCTCCGGGCACTCCAGCTTCCTCCACCAATAAAAACTGGCTGCCACGAAATAGCCCAAAAGCGGTGCTTAAAAGTGGCGTTAAAACACCAAAAATCAAATCAAACCAAATGTTATGAAACTTATACACAATACTTATTATCACAAAACCCAGATCAAGTAAGAATTTGGGTAGCGTCACTTCTACCGTTCTTGAGTTATATCCCTTTATAATGTTATATGCAAGCGGATGCATCATCAGTGTCCTCACGGACACATTCCCCATTTATTATTTATGGGAAACCTATTCCATCATAGTAATAAAAACATCACAAACGTTTTTGAACATTTTTGAATTTACAGTATTTGCATTTAAGCATGTTAAGTACATTGTGCATTTCAGTTATTCCTAACCAGGTTTTTTTTTTCAAGGCAAAATGCTTAATCTACAACATGACCTTTGACATGAATATGCATGAAATATTTTCTATTGGACAATTAGCAAACGAAAAGCAATCAATTAATCAATATGACGTTTTGGAAAGGTAATTGAACTGAGAATGGAAACGAAATCTATTATGATACTTATTTGCTGAAATATTGATTATGTACATTTTGTTATTAAACATAAAAAGGATGACAGAAATGATCAAAAACATTTTACAGTACAACAAAGTTCACCAACCACCAACACCAGACTGAGTCCTCTTAAAAATAGACATACAAACAAAAACATCAATGAAAAACACATTGTCTTGAATGACTTGGTACAGGCACAAAATGTGTTGCAGTGAAACTAGTTTTACTTGCACACAATCCTCCCCTTTGCCTACCTACACTGCATGTCGTGAAAGTGAAACACATTAAATTGTAGTTAAACATTGTAGAAAAATTTTACTTATATTACAATTTTCTTCAATATGTATTATGTTTACAATAAAATCAGTGTGCAAAATTGATGGCAACCTCAAAAGAAATTATGACCATTGAAATTAATATATTTGGAAGGTTTGAATTTAAGGTATATGTTAAAACCAATTGGATCAGTGTTATTTCAAAGTGAGGACAAATAAATTGCAGACAGTATTTTGCTTAAAATTTACAAATTGAATTTTATTGAATTTATTTTACTATTAAAAATTTGTATACAATTCTCAGCTTAATGAAATAAAGAGTTAAAAATTAAGAATTTCTTTTATAGGTAGACCAGAGAAATTACCAGATGTTTGCTATTCCTGGTGGGTTTTAGCCTCACTTAAAATCATAGGAAAAATACACTGGATTGATAAGGTAAAAAACATATGCAAGATTTATTTTTTCTTCATCAGTATATGCAGGAAATATATAAAAATAGGAATATTGATTAGGTTTTTGTCAAGCCTGCGACTTTTGTCGCAGAAAGCTCGACTTAGGGATAGTGATCCGGCGGCGTTAGCGTTAGCTAACTTCTTAAAAGCTTTATATTTTAGAGGGTGGAAGATATGGATGCTTCATACTTTGTATATGGATGCCTCATGTTACGAAGTTTCCATCAGTCACATGTCCAATGTCCTTGACCTCATTTTCATGGTTCAGTGACTACTTGAAAAAAAAGTTCCAGATTTTTTGTAATGTTAAATTCTCTCTTATTATAAGTAATAGGATAACTATATTTGGTATGTGCGTACCTTGCAAGGTCATCATGCCCGTCAGACAGTTTTCACTTGACCTCGACCTCATTTCATGGATCAGTGAACAAGGTTAAGTTTTGGTGGTCAAGTCCATATCTCAGATACTATAAGCAATAGGTCTAGTATATTTGGTGTATGGAAGGACTGTAAGGTGTACATGTCCAACTGGCAGGTGTCATCTGACCTTGACCTCATTTTCATGGTTCAGTGGTTATAGTTAAGTTTTTGTGTTTTGGTCTGTTTTTCTTATACTGTATGGCATAGGTCTACTATATTTGGTGTATGGAATGATTGTAAGGTGTACATGTCTAGATGGCAGGTGTCATCTGACCTTGACCTCATTTTCATGGTTCAGTGGTTATAGTTATGTTTTTGTGTTTTGGTCTGTTTTTATACGACCGCAAAAATTAAAAATTTTTTGGTCGTATATTGGTATGACGTTGGCGTCGGCGTCGGCGTCGTCGTCGTCCTAGACACATTGGTTTTCACACTCTAACTTTAGTTTAAGTGAATGGATCTCCGTGAAATTTTACCATAAGGTTCAATACCACAAAAGGAAGGTTGGGATTGATTTTGGGGGTTATGGTACCAACAGTTAAGGAATTAGGGGCCAAAAATAAGCATTTTTGTAACTTCCAGACATTACTTGTGTGTTAGTGTATGGATCTCTCTGACATTGTACCACAAGGTTCCATATCACAAAGGGAATGCTGGGATTGATTTTGGGGGTAATTGCCTCAAAATTTTAGGAATTAGGGGCCAAAAAAGGGGCAAAAAACAAGCATTTTTCTAGTTTCATGATAATAACTTGTGTGTAAGTGTATGGATCTTTCTGAAATTGAACCAAAAGGTTCCATATCACAAAGGGAAAGCTGGAATTGAGTTTGGGGGTAATTGCCCAAAACGTTTTGGAATAAGGGGCCAAAAAGGGGCTAAAAATAGCATTTTTCTAGTTTCCAGACAATTGCTTGTGTTCAAGTGTATGGATCTCTCTGAAATTGTACTGCAAGGTACCATACCAAAAAGGGAAGGCTGGGATTGATTTTAAGGGTAATTGCCTCAAAATTTTAGGAATTAGGGGCCAAAAAGGGGAAAAAAACAAGCATTTTTCTACTTTCAGGACAATAACTTGTGTTCAAGTGTATGGATCTCTCTGAAATTGTACTGCAAGGTTCCATACCACAAAGGGAAGGCTGGGATTGAGTTTGGGGGTGATGAATCATAAGGGGTTTCAAAAAATTTGGTGGGGTGGGGGGTTTCCTTTTTTTTTCTTTTTTTCCTTTTTTTTTCTTTTAAAATTTTCCATTTTAAGTTGGTTATTTCTGATTTATATTTAAAAGCAAATAATAATGATATGGTAGGAGATACACACCAAACAGGATGTGTAAATTATTATATAATAAGTATTGTGCAATAGCAAGAAATTTTCAATTGCACAGTATTGCACAATAGCAAGAAATCTTCCATTGCACAGTATTGCGCAATAGCAAGAAATCTTCAATTGCACAGTATTGCGCAATAACAAGAAATATCCAATAGCACAATATTGCGCAATAGCAAGAAATTGTCAATTGTACAGTATTGCGCAATAGCAAGAAATATTCAATTGCACAGTATTGTGCAAAAGAAGATACTTCGTATAAATTGCTTATTTCTTGACCAATTTCAATGGGGTTTTATTCTTGAATTCTTGGGGTTCTTTAATGTGCTGAATCTAACCGTGTTATAAGTTTTTGGATTTTGGGCCCCGTTTTTAAATTGGTCCACATTGAGGTCCAAAGGGTCCAAAATTAAACTTTGTTTGATTTCATCAAAAATTGAATTATTGGGGTTCCTTGATATGCCGAATCTAACCGTGTATTTAGATTCTTAATTTTTGGTTCCATTTTCAAATTGGTCTACATTAAGGTCCAAAGGGTCCAAAATTAAACTAAGTTTGATTTTAACAAAAATTTAATTCTTAGGGTTCTTTGATATGCTGAATCTAAACATGTATTTAGATTTTTGATTATGGGCCCAGTTTTCAAGTTGGTCCAAACCGGGGTCCAAAATTAAATTTTGTTTGATTTCAACAAAATTGAATATATGGGGTTATTTGATATGCTGAATCTAACCATGTATTTAGATTTTGGATATTGGACCATAATAGGTGAATGTCCAATTTAAAATTTTTAAGTTCTTAGACCACATTCATTCTGTGTCAGTAACCTATGCTTTGTCAAATATTTAATCACAATCCAAATTCAGAGCTGTATCAAGCTTGAATGTTGTGTCCATACTTGCCCCAACTGTTCAGGGTTCGACCTCTGCGGTCGTATCAAGCTGCGCCCTGCGGAGCATTTCATTCTTATACTGTATGCAATAGGTCTACTATATTTGGTGTATGGAATGATCGTAAGGTGTACATGTCTAGCTGGCAGGTATCATCTGACCTTGACCTCATTTTCATGGTTCAGTGGTCAAAGTTAAGTTTATGAGTTTTGGTCTTTTTTTCTAATACTGTATGCAATAGGTCTACTATATTTGGTGTATGGAATGATTGTAAGGTGTACATGTCTAGCTGGCAGGTGTCGTCTGACCATGACCTCATTTTCATGGTTAAGTGGTCAAAGTTAAGTTTTTGAGTTTTGGTCTTTTTTTCTAATTCTATATGCAATAGTTCAACTATATTTGGTGTATGGAAATAGTTTATGATCTATATGTCAGTCACACAGGTTTTATTTGACCTTGACCTCATTTTCAAGGTTCATTGCTCAGTGTTAAGTTTTTGTGTTTTTGTCTGTTTTTCTTAAACTATGAGCAATAGGTCAACTATATTTGTTGTATGGAAGAATTGTTAGCTGTACATGCCTGCCTAGCATGGTTCATCTGACCTTGACCTCATTTTCATGGTTCATTGGTCAATGTTTAGTTTACTTGGTTAATGTTAAGTTTATGTGACAGTTGTAATAAAGCTTTATATTTAGGACTATCAACATAATATCAATGATTAGTAAAGAAGGCGAGACATTTCAGCGTGTGCACTCTTGTTTTCTATCAACACTGAACTAAATAGTTTATTTATCAACACAGAACTAAATGCCTGCACCTCATGTATGTCAAAATTTTCTTCAATAAATTATAAAAGAAAGGTGGAAGATATTAAAAGGATATTCAAACTCATATGTCAAAGACAAACTGACAACACCATGGCAAAAACAAAAAACATCATAGACAACATTCTACAAAACTCAACATAGAAAACTAAAGACCGAGCATCCTGAACCCCACCAAAAACTTGGGGTGATCTCAGGTGTTCTAAAGGGTAAGCAGATCCTGCTCAACATGTTGCTTAACAAATGATTACTTAGAATCATCTGCAGCTCTTTTCACAAATAATCTTAAGAGTAAAAATACTTGTAAGTCATACACATTTCATTATAACTTAAGATCAATTTTAATCATAAGATTTTTTGTGTAAAAAGTGTTGCAGACGTGTATAATTATTATTAAGTGTGGTTTGTCAGGTAGCTTATAACAGCATTGGCACAAAATCTTAACCATTTGAATCATATAATCTATGGATTTAAACTTTTGAAGAATGAATAAAAGGAGACTTGGAGCAATTTAGAGCTTGACATATGGTATAGACAAAGTTCTATTATTTAAGAAATATATTGTCCATGAAAAAGTTTATTCTTACAATATCATTAAACTTTAAAAATTGAAATTATTCTTTTTATAATCAACATTTGTCCTTTTACAGGCTAAACTAACAAAATTTATTCTGGCATGTCAAGATGATGAGACTGGAGGGTTTGCAGACAGACCTGGAGATATGGTAAATATCATCTTAAAAATAAAAGAACAAGTGCCCCCTTTCCCACCTTACACAATACACACACATATTTAGGTGCCTGTCCCAAGTCAGTAAGCAAGTATATCTTAATAGTTTTAGTCTTTTAGGGAATTAGTATGATGGCAGATCTTTGAAATTTGTCTGTTAAATTTATTCACAGCAATTAAGACTCAAAAAGTCAGATTTCATAGATTGATATTTTGTATAGACACCTGACTGTAGTTGAAGGCTGTTTGTTAACACTGAGATGTCTATTTGGTGAGGGTTTTTTATCATTGGGTTAATGTCTTATTGGTGTATACCAATATCTGATTTTTGTGTTCCTTTTTAACTGAATCGGTTTTTTGTTTGTTTTTTTAAGCGCTTTTGCCTTTTAAAGACTTTTGCAAGCTCTGTTTACTTTATTTACACTTGACTAGTCTCCAGATGAATTAGAGCTTTACATACGGTATTGATTCTTGTCTTTTGTTGAAGACCATGAGGTGACAGCTAGATGTTTTACCTGATAAGTTTTATATTTGGGTTACTGTCAAATCCTAAACTTACATTACTTTTTATTTTGACTTGTCAAACAGGAGAAACTGGAAAATGACAAAAATCAAATAAACAGTGCCTTTTTTTTTGTTTTTGCAGCATCTTCAACAAATATGGTGATATTATTATAACAATTAATAATTTACAATTTATTTGATTTCAGGTTGATCCATTCCATACATTATTTGGCATAGCTGGACTCTCACTTTTAGGAGAAGATAAAATAAAACCTGTCAACCCTGTGTTCTGTATGCCTGAGGAAGTCATAAGGGGGAATGGAATTCAGTTAGAACTTTTGTGATATTGATTTTTATATACAGGGCTCCAGAAATTTCAAACAGAACATCTCTTTTCAGGAAGCAGAATTGACAGTGAATTGAGAAGTAAGGTTTACGAAAATTTTGCGAAATGTGTTAATGCGAGTGAGGCTTACACTAGAGGAAAAGTATAATGGGAAAGCAATAAATTTATTTGTGATATACTGTTCATTCAAGAACAATTTATTACGCAAATTTAATGTCACAGTAAATGTACATGTAGTGCTGAAAGAGAGATAACTCTTAATTTTATTTGAAATAATTGTATATGCATGAATAAAAAATGTTATCATTAATTTTTCTTTCTAAGTGCTTTAAAATGCAAATAATACCAAGGGAACTTAAAAATACACGTATACTTGAAAATAATAAGCATAGTTCAGTTGAAATATAGATGGTTAAATTTTAAAATGCCTTTTTTGACCAATTATCTTTAAATTATGTCTTCACTTAAGCTTGTATTTTTCTTTGATATAATGTTTAATTTTTGTTATTCAATTTTATGTTGGAGAGACTTACTTACTATCGAAGGCAAGTTTTTTAAGTCTTTTTGTTTTTTTCAGTAATGCACAGTGTGCAGATGTCACAGAAACCTATTTGCTCTAGTATGATTTAATTGTACATGTACCATTACACACATAATAGTGGAATTTAGATATAATCATACATTTCTGCCATATATGTCTAATATAGATATGAAAAAGTTTTTGAATGGATACATCAGTTGTATGTAGGATATCATTGATATGAAAGGACTTTATTTATTTTTCTTTAATTTTTGTTGTTATTATTTTGAAAATTTTGAATTTCTGAAAGCATTTGAAACCATGATATTTTTTATTATTGTTATTGTTAGAATGTAGAAGTACATTTTATTGATTAATGTTTCACTCAATACATATTGGTCAACTGATGCTCATACCTTCATCTTTATTAATTGTTGTATGCTTTACATCCAATGCCATTACTTTCACATAAAGTCTATGTTTTGTGATATAGTACACAGTTTATAATCAAAGTGCATACTCTCAGAACAAATCTATGGTGTGTGACGACTTTGGAATTATCATTCACTACTTTGATTATGAACTGATGATGGCTGATAACCTGATTCAATAAAACAACTGACAAAAAATATTTGATGGCAATGAAAATTCAGAACAATTTGATATTTTTCATAATCAGTAGACTATAACTTTTTCTTGTTTTTAAAATGTTAAAAACATTAACATCTACATTACTATTTTATTTTGGTACTTTAAATTTGAAATCAATAAATGCATTTTATTAATGCAAATTATAAAATGCTGTCTGCAATGTCTAATTTAATAATTCAACTTAGACAAATCTGTTATCTAACCTTACATATTTAAATTTCTCTTAATTTATATATGCTTTCAAGTAAATTGTAAAAGTATGTTATAAAAGGTAGAATGAAAGATTTTCATGTTAATCATCAATTGCCATTTTATGTGGATACATCATGGTAGTAATAGATGTATTAAATATAAATAAAAATTATTCTGTTAGTTATATTTAGTAGGAAGAATCTTCCAAGGATCCCTTCAACCCTGGCATTCAAAATGTTTGGTTTTGAGCGTTCCTGATGAAGGAAAACCAGAAAATCACTTCAGATGCACAAAATTAATAAAGTGTTTTTCTCATTTTCCTAGATTTGGTCATTGATTTTTTTTCCCTCCTGATGCATTTCTTTAAAAAAAAATATTGTTTTACTGGAAATTTAGATAGCAGATTTTGAAAGAGCAACTTGAATTTTCAAATTAAAAATCTGACAAAAATGTAATGTTATTGTAGTAAATAAACCATTTTGTAAGACGTTTCGTCCACTGGCCTTCTTCAGTTTCTTTATTATCTTATTTATTATAGATAATAAAGAAACTGCAGAAAGCCATTGGCCGAAACATCTTCATCCCTTTGTAAATTTTACTGACGCCATCATGAGTTGGTTATCCGTTAAGGAATATCTGTTTCACAGATGATAGCGAATATGTTCCTAATGTCGTTACTACAATCCCGTCCCCTTTTCCCGAATGTGACCTACCGAATTAGACTTATTACCAACATGACCGGTGCCACATGTGGAGCAGGATCTGCTTACCCTTCCGGAGCACCTGAGATGATCCCCAGTTTTTGGTGGGGTTTGTGTTACTCAGTCTTTAGTTTTTTTCTGTTGTGTTTTGTGTACTATTGTTTGTCTGTTGGTCTTTTTCTTTTTTGGCGTTGTCAGTTTATTTTCGACTTGTGAGTTTGAATGTCCCTTTGATATCTTTTGCCTCTCTTTTACAAAATGGTTTGTTTACTACAATAATATAATATATGTTCCCTATTGGAAATTTGAAACAAGAAAACATGTAATGGAAAAATTGAGTGTTTTGATGTTAGTCATGTTAGAGTTGTCTTCCTTTGAATGGAAAAAAAAGATGAATTGATTTTACATATAAACTACATGAATTTCAGAGCAATTCTGATAAAACAATAATGGATGAATTAATGGTAGACTCCTGAAAAACAATTAACATTATAACATTTACATATCTGATATACAAATAATTGCATTAATATGGATTGAAACAACATTTATGAGGTTTGTCTTTCTTTTACCAGAAAAAAAAAAAACATGAACCAGTGAAGTTTATATATATATGTATTTATATATATAATATGTTCATTAATATTGAGTAAGACTTTATTTTATAAGTTTTGAATTTCCTATTAGGTATTTTAGATAACTGTCAATAAATACTTTCACCCATGTGTATCATAACCTACAAAAAAAACTGAAAAAAACACATTATAAATTTGATGCGTCCAAGCGCTTTTCTGGATTTACTTTCTTCAGGAATGCTCAAAGCCGAATATTTGAAAGTCAAGGATGTATAGGGACCGAAAACGTTGCTACAATACATGCTTCAATGCTTAGATAATTTCATTGATTAGGAACCCTTGATGATTTAAATTTTTTTGACATTTAGGGTACCTGGCAAAGATAAATAGAGATGCATGTTTTGCAAATCAAATTTAATTTCATTATACAAGTTGTATATTCATTGGCACAGTGGCAAAGCTTCCATTGAGGTATTTGAGCAACTGCCTTGCCAAATTTTGTACCAAGAAAAAAATAGAGTGGGTAAAAAAAAGAAAGGAAAAAATGAGGTGTATTTAAGAGTATGGAGTGAAGATTTCTTTTACTTTTTAAACATATATTTCTCAGTATTAGCTTACATAGTGTTCTGCTATATACATGATATCCTCTCACTTGATAATTCGAAGTTTTGTAACCATGTTGAACACATCTATCCCATCAAACTTGAAATAAAGGATACAACAGATAAAGTTATGTCTGCCTCATATTTTGACTTACATCTAGAAATTGACAATGAGGGTCTGTTGAGAACAAAACTTTATAGCAAAAGAGATGATTTCAGCTTCCCAATTGTGAACTTTCCATTTCTATGTAGCAACATCTGCTTATGGAGTATATATCTCCCAGTCAATACAATATTTCAGAGCTTGCATTTCCTATCTTGATTTTCCTTGATAGAAGGTTGCTGCCTCCTGAAATATGTTTCACAGATGACGACAGATATTTTCCAATTGTCATAACCACAATCCTGTCTGTCCTCTTTTCATCTAAGATGACCTACAGAATGAGACTTATCACAGGGCTTGAACTTACATTATCAAAAACATTGGGTGCCACAAGTGGAGCAGGATCTGCTTACCCTTCTATTGTTTGGTGGAGTTCGTGTTGCTCTTTATTTTTCTATGTTGTGTTTTGTATACTGTTGTTTGTCTTTTGATCATTTTTAGTTTTTGCCACGGCATTGTCAGTTTGTTTTCGCCTCTTTCATAACAGTATAAAAACATAAGTCAAACTTTGTTTCATTAAAATATGACAAAATATTTTGTTTAAGGAACGGACAAATTATACTTTTGATAAATCTGAATGAAGAATTGTGAAACTGACATGATACTTATTTTATTGGTCCAACATGCCTTCCTTTTCCAGTGTTGAAACTCGTGCCACACATTCTGCAGAACCTATCTATTGGACTGTCAATTTGCTGTTGTCCTGTATGAAATATTAATGACTGGATGTTAGGCAAATGTGAACAATATATAAATCAATTAACTTTTTGCATCTGTAAATTGCAAACAGGCTTCGTCCATGAACTATCCGCTGCCTTTAAGATCAGATAAACTAAACCGGAAATACATGTACACCTTAGAATCATTCCATACACCAAATATAGTTGACCTATTGCTTATAGTTTCTAAGAAACAAACTTAATCAGGAAAACTTAACATTGACCAATGAACCATGAAAATGAGGTCAAGGTCAGATGAACCATGCCAGACAGACATATACACCTTACAATCATTCCATTAACCAAAATATAGTTGACTATTGCTTACAGTTTAAGAAAAACAGACCAAAACACAAAAACTTAACACTGAGCAATTAACTGTGAAATGAGGTCAAGGTCAAATAAATTCTGCCCGACTGACATGTACATCGTAGAATATTGCCATACATCAAATATAATTGACCTATTGCATAAAGTATTAGAAAAAAAGCCCAAAACACAAAAACTGAACTTTAACCACTGAACCATGAAAATGAGGTCAAGGACAGATGACACCTGCCAGTTGGACATGTACACCTTACAATCATTCCATACACCAAATATAGTAGACCTATTTCTTATAGTATCTAATATATGGACTTGACCACGAAAACTTAACCTTGTTCACTGATCCATGAAATGAGGTCGAGGTCAGATGAAAACTGTCTGACAGGCATGAGGGCCTTGCAAGGTACGCATATACTAAATATAGTTATCCTATTACTCATAATAAGAGAGAAATTAACATTACAAAAAATCTGAACTTTTTTATCAAGTAGTCACTGAACCATGAAAATGAGGTCAAGGACCATGGACATATGACAGATGGAAACTTCGTAACATAAGGCATCTATATACAAAGTATGAAGCATCCATGTCTTCCACCTTCTAAAATATAAAGTTTTTCAGTAGTTAACGCTGCCGCAGCCGGATCACTATCCCTATGTCGAGCTTTCTGTGACAAAAGTCGCAGGCTCAACAAAAACCAACATATTAAAGTTGTAATATTTTTAATTATGTTTCATATCCATAAAAATCATGATAGTGTTCACATTACAAAATGACTTTAGGTCAATTTTCTTCAGTTTCTTATATACCTTCATGCATAACAATTATGTTTATCACATTTTAAGGAAGAACAAATACAATACAGTACATAATTTACATGATTCTTTAAAACAAAACAAAAGTCAATTTTTACTGTGGTAAAATTACAGAACAAAACATCACATAAAATAGATTGGCTTAATTAAAAAATAAGAATGATATCAAGAATTGTCAGAATTTGGATGAAACAGTACAAATAGCATCAGCAACTATTTGTTAGTTGCACATCTATTGCTATTACCTGATATGTTAAAATTAAAGCATTGGTTCTGCAGTTGGCCTATTTGTTTCAATAAACTTACAATTTTTATGAGTACTTTTTAGGTGTTATCAAAATGTAAACAACAATAACCTCATCACTTGATATCATGGACATAAACCAGCTGAGTTGGTTAAGATTTTTTATGCTTGCACATACATTTTCTCTTTTCAGTTGTTTTTTTTAAATGGCGAACTAGTAAGAGATCATATATAAAATGAGATATTAAAACATAGTATCACAGAACACCTTATTTATCGTCATCTCTATAAATCTTAATAAACAATAAGTATTTCAGTTAAATATAAGACATCAAAAACAGGATATAAACAGACTCAGCACATAAATCTAACTCTCGGCACGTAACTAACTCTCACAGTGTTCCATAATGTCATTCACTCTCATACATCTAACACATTCATACAGGTATCAACAGTATCATGCTGCAGACTGAGGTATTCTCCCTTTAATCCCAACAATCTCATCCCAACCTTTTCTGCAGGTTCGTCGAATCCATTCATCCTCATCATCATCTGCAATTATAGGTAAAATATTAAGTTTTTAATCAGAGGACTTCAAATTAATTTTTATAATTCAATAAGAGTATTTTTTTGCTTTATTTTTTTCTTGAATTTTAAAATACCTGGTATGTGATATTCAGCTGAAAATATGCTGACTAAATAATAAAGGCATTCCAAAAAGAAAATGTATCAAATTTTTTAACTGATTTTGGTATGTTCAGTGTTAATTTTTTTAGTTTTCTAATATTGCGCTTAAAAAAGCATGTATCATGTTAAATGATATTATGTACAAACTGTTAAAATTTTGTAAACTTAGGTTGAGACAAGGAAAATAATAGTCCTAGATAACAAATTTAATTGAAATAAGAGCACTAGAAATGTTTGCTTATTTTGAGAGCATTTAAAAAAAAAAGATGGCTGACAAATAAATTTTGACTCTTGGGATTAATTCATGATGTCATGATTTATATATATTTTATTTTGTTAAATGCTTCCTTAGCATAGAAGCTACAATTATCAAGTTTCAAATTTTTTATTTGATCCAGCTGGGGAACGAACCCACACTCCTCCCAATTCAAGGTGAACTCACTACAAGCTATATTATATATATACACATGTATAATGTTAAAATTACATTGAGTTATCTAATGAAAGATGAAAAAAAAAACAATCATTTTTACAATTCAAGATTTTTCTAGCAGTCTTTGTTGAAGTTATAATGTTAAAAAAATATTATTTTATTAAGGTCTTATTAATATAAACTTCTTTATTCCTCTAAACTGATAAAGATTAAAAAAACCAGCATGATTCATACTATACCTGGGGATAAATGCACATTTATGAATAAATAACTAAGAATTAAAAATTTAAACTAAAGCTTTCTATGTCAGATTTTGTTCTAACTTACCTGCATTTCGTAAAAATTTATGATTATAATCGACAACAACTCTCGTATCTGGATTATAGAATCCATCTCCACAATCATAACATCCTTCTGGTATGTCTCTGGGGGGCACTCTATTTGTTAACTGTGATCGACCTTAAAAAATATATTATCACAATATTAAAATAAGGAGATATGGTATGGTTGACAATGAGACAACTTTCCACCAGATTCCAAATTACATGGATGTAAGCACTGTATGGCCTTTGATAATGAGCAAAACCCAAATTGTATAGAAAGCTATAAATGGTACAAACATGACAAAACGTAAAACAATTTAAAAAAAAATTTCCAGTCTATCTTCTACCATTGGAATCTGATTATGTACTAATTCTAAGTTGTCAACATGGTCAACAACTTTCAAACTATAACAAGAGACTGCGCACATTTTTGTGATAAGCATATTCCAACCTATAATTCCATCGGAAAGATCTGAAAAGGGCTTACATATAACAACTCCATGCTTAGCTTCTAACCAAAATTTAAAGTGTCATTCTGTTCTGTAGTACTGGAGAAATATGTGTGCGGTTAAAATATTAAGGTCTTTCAACATATCAAGATTTAAAGTATCAGCAAACAGGAAGTACGTGTCTGACAGATGAAAAAGTGCTCACACTTTACAAATCATCTCTGTCAAGCTGCTGACTAAATATAAAGAAGTTCTTTCCCTTAGTACAATGATAATTTAGCGATGAAAATGTTTATTGGATGAATGGATACTGGAATAACAATGTCTTTTTGACTAATTTCTTACATCACCTAGATCATTCTTCATCATATAATCAAAATTTTATATGCAGTATAATATGCTTACTTACTTATCGGTATTCTTCTATTCAGTCATAGCACATCATTGTATTTTTTTTGCAGGGGAGATAACTGCTGTTTATAAATAAGACAGCATGTGAAAATGACAATTACATAAATGTAGTTTCATAAACCTACCTGCAGGTTTTAAACCATTACAAATTTCTGTATAAAATCTTCTATCATACCCATCACAATATTCCCAATTCTCTTCCTCATACCGTAATCCATCAGCAAATGTGTATTTACCCTGTAATAAGAAATTAAAGCATGATTTTACAAACTATTATACATACTTTGAGGGGATGCTTATTCAAACAGTGTCAGAATAAATATAAAATACTGGTAATATAATAAACAATTTTATGATTTATAACGATATTAATGACAAAATTTACTATAATCAATATTTTCAACAGGTCATACTTTAGGGCTCTACAACAATGTTTCTCCGCTTGGTAGAAGTTCATGGATTGATTTGACAAGTATAATGGTCATTTTCAAGCTGCATATACAAGTGTAAGAACATCTAAATAATTACACTTGCTTTTAATTAAAAAAAAATGAAAGTTTTACCAAGAATTAGATGATCATGAATTAGCCTGAATGAATATACCAGGGTAATTGAATTTTGCAGCATATAAACAATAATGTTTTATATACTTATTTGTGATTACAAAAATTTGTACTGTTTCCCCTAAGTAGATTATATAGCCATACATTACTAATAAAGAACTGTACTTTAAAGATGATAAAATTAAGACAGATGAACAACAACATGACATATGTACAAAGTAGTTAACATGCTTGACTTAGAATCAATTATTGAATACAGAATCCATTATTACCGTGGTCTAGCTTTCAAAGATAAATAATGGATCGTCGCGATAAGATTATAATCCTTACATTAACAATGTTATTATGTATGTACATGTATCAATTAGTGTCCATAGTAGGACATTATTTTTTTTTTAACTTTAAAATATTTCGTATCAGATTCCATTACAAATATTCTGTTCTAACTAGACAATATTTTGATATTATTATTATTGGAGTCATTGGGATTAAAATCTAAAAAACCACCTAGGCCTGCATACCTCTATGGCAATACCATTCTCCCATGTTGCATCATATTTACTACCGTTTGGGAAAAATAATGTTCCTTTTCCATGGAACATGCCATCCTTCATATCACCTTCATATTTTGTTTCTGTTGGAAATTCATACTTTCCCTTTCCTTCCATTCTAAAAAGAAAGTTAACTGAATTAGTAAAATTACAACAGAGTTCTCGAAAAGTGGTGGTCCGAGGGATTTGACCACCAAAATTTTGTAAGGACCGACACAATTTTGGTATTTTGCAATTGAAATATTAGTGGGGATCAGTATATTTTCTTCAAGGACCACCAGAGGAAAAAAGATTTCGAGAACTCTGTTATAAACTCACTTGCATTGTTAAAGTTTGAATCGATAGTAAGATAATAGAAAATAAAGTAAATTCAAAGACCATGTTTCAAAAGAATTTTGAAAATTTCACTACAAAGTACCTATTATTTTGCACTGAAACTTAAAATTAAAATGCATTTAATGCTTATATCAGTTCTACCCTCATCCTTATTTTGAAATTTATGTGAGCAATAAGGCCTTAGGTATCAGGCAATAAAACCTGTCTATTGGCCCTAGGTGCCTTTTATGTATTAGTTTCATGGACTTGCTGTCTCATTAGCGTATACATTACCACACATCTTCTTTCATTAATACCTATTCTGTTCAATAACCTTTTAAGAGTAGTGATTTAATCTATGTATTTGAAATTCATCTTTGATCTTCTATGTTGTTTTTCGAATATCGACAAAGATAACTGATGCAATTTTCTAACAGTATCATGCATTAACAAAACTAACTTTGCTTATAAACATGATAAATGTTAAAACATTTTTATTTTGCATTTTATTTTTTCATTTGTACATGTGTACATGCAAGTTAAATTTGCGTTATACATGTATGTCAGACACACACAATTTCAAAATCAATATTAATCATCTAGCAGCAGATGTTTATTTATAAAAATTGTGGAAAGGTTCAAGTTGGAATTAAAAGATTAACAAATTAATGGCATCTTCTTAAAGTCATATGATACTTCAAATCTAAAAACAGCGGTGGATCCAGCCATTTTTAAAAGGTGGGTTCCCAACCCAGGATAAAGAGGGGTTCCAACTATATGTCCCCATTCAAATGCATTGATTGTCAAAAAAAAGGGGGGCGGGGTTCCAACCCCTGGACCCCCCCCCCCCCCCCCCTGGATCTGCCACTGAAAAATAGGTTGAAAATTTTGTATATTGGGACAAAGTCTGCAATAACAGTAAGAAAATCACTATACTAATAAACTCAAAATTGTTATTTTATTTTTATCCTGTTCCTGTTCTGTTGACGGACGCTGCCATGTTGTAAGTCATATGATTTCCCCAAAATTTGTATAACTGATTATCAAAAAGAATAATGGGAACATACATTTTGAATTTTTCTGTTTGAGTTCGAAACAAATTGAGACTAGAGCTTATTCAACATACGATTTTATAGCAAGCAAAATGAGTTCTCACCTCAGATCAATCCGGCAGATTTTTGTTAAATCATTTATAACCCGACTTTTTATATTCGTTGTTTTTTAGGTATAATTCTCATGCTTTGAAATGAGAAGAAAAAGACACGCTTCCTGAAAAGCTGAAGATTATGTTTCTTTCTTTACATGAAAAATGTATATAAAAAAACATCACTCTATCTTTTACAGACGTGCCATGTAGTAATGTCCAAGGACGTTTGACAAAGTATACAATCAAAATCAAAATTATTCACTATTCTTATTGAAAAGGTGTACAAATTAGCTGTGTTGTACTACACTAGACTAGTAGTAGTACTACACTGTTTTCTTGATGTAAACTGTTCATGGCTTGTATTGTGAGTTTGTTGGATACAATATATCCTGTTTGGCTTGTTAAGTGTATGGATATCCCAAAATGTGACCTTATATTGTGTTTACTGATATTAACCTCCCATTTTTGTAATCTCCATCATAACTGCTGCCTGTGTACTCCATTTTGCCGCAATATTTTGTTGTCAAGGAAAACGGAAGTTGTATATTTACAAACAAAAGTCGGACATCATAAATCCGGAGATCGTAATAAAAAACAGCGATGCATTCGTTTTAAGATCTTTTAAAATTCGGTCTCCTCCTATATGAAGGTATATACATATGTGCCAATGGAATGGGGTCCCTTTTTTGATACGTCAAATATATCAGTGGGGTGCAATTTTACCGAGGAAATATATCAAAAGGTAGTAATTGAAAAGTGTTTTTAATATATAATAAGATCGTTGTATATGCATATAGGTACTATCAGAGACATATAATACAAATATAATATAATTGTATTATATGTCTCTGGTACTATTTGACCTGATAAATATATGAATGGGTTATGATTTCGCTGTGAAATATATGTATAGGTAGGGATTTCACAATTATTCAATATAATCCCATCTGCACAACTGTACCCAAAATCCCATGTTGAGACCCCCCCCCTTGGCGCCAAGGAACTCAATATTCAGAACAACAGCTTACAGATATTCTTCATGTTCTTGATGACAATGAATCAAAAGCCAACTAGAAATAAAAACACATTGGACCTTCTTATCACCAACTGTCCTAGTAAAATGATGAAACTATAGATGTCATTCCAGGAATTTCAGACCATAATATTGTATACATACAGTATGCAGAAATGAACACCAATCAAATGACAAACAACCAAAAGCCAAGAAAAATCCAACTGTATAGAAGAGCTAAATGGGACAACATAAAAGAAGATATAATATATGAATTTGCTTTATATCAAAATTCAAAAAGAAAGCATGAACAAAAAGACAAACATAAATATTCTCTGGAATATGTTCAAGGAAGGACTAGAAAGCAGTAAAGCCAACACATACCTTCCGAAAGATGCAAGACTAAGGACAAAAACCCATGTATAACCCAGGAAATAAAAAAAAAACTGATGAGGCGAAGAAACCGAGTCTTCCAAAAGAAAAAAGAAATCAAACCATGCTACTGATATTAAAAGATTTAAACAACTGAAACAAACCATCCAAAGAAAACCAAGACAAGCCTATTGAAAATACATAGAAAACGTAATAACTCCAGAAGATAATGAGGACGTCCACTCACCATGATCAAGTACCACAAGGGTCAGTCTTAAGGACCCAGTCTCTCTCTGTTACATAAACGACCTACCAGAAGGCCTACATGCACTCAACAGTGAGACCGTTTGCAGACGATACTGTTGTCTATTTGGCCATTTCCTCAGACAATGACTGCCATAAACTCCAAGAAGACCTGGACAAACTGGCAAAATGAGAAATAACTAGAAAATGGAGTTCCACCCTGAAAAATTCAATCAAGTGGGACTACAAACTCCACGGCAAAACAATGGAGCATGAAACATCGACTTAATACCTGGGCTGCACCATCACAAATGATCTAAATTGTGGAGAACACATAAACAACATCACAGGAAAAGCCAGCTGAAGCCTTGGTTTCTTATATTGAAACTTCAACATCAGCTCAAAATCAATCAAAGAGCATGCCTATAAAATATTAGTAAGACCACAAATGGAATACGCCACGACAGTATGTGACCTGTACCAGCAAAACCACATAGATAAAATTGAAAAAAGTAGAAAGACGAGCTGCACTATATGTAACAAGCAAACAACTGACAAGTGTCAGCAATATGATCAATGAATTAGGATGGAAAATCTTACAAACAAGACGAAAAGAAGCTCAACTCATCATGTGTTACAAAATAACCAATGACCTTGTAGCCATAGACAAGAGTAAACATCACACTTACCTATTACAGACAGCCGCCAAAGATTGTATGAAAATGGTATGTCTTCGTAATCACCGTCAAGGATTGGAACAAACTGCCTCCATATATCGCCACAGCAAAGTCTTTTGAAATATTTATGTCTCAAGTGTAGAAGAAGAAGAAGAAGATTACATTAAAAAGGAGGGAAATAAGTTAAGATACCATAGAAATTAAGAAATTTTCCAAAAAAACAATTAAAGGGTGGGTCCATTCCCCAAGCGCCCGTGGACTAAAGCCATAAAATTATCTGCTATTGACTGCAACCCCCCCCCAAACAAAAAAAATATAGTCAGGCTAGTTAGTTTAATCCAGTTAGACGGAGCAACAGGGGCGCGGTCAATATCGTTGCTTCAGATGATATATCATTATATTCATATGAATGTTAGTTTAATCCAGCTAGACGGGGCAACAGGGGCGCGGTCAATATCGTTGCTTCAGATGATATATCATTCTATTCATATGAATATTTATTGCCATTATTCACATGATTAAGATTTAGGTGAACAATTATACGATAAGTATATATCTTTAAAAAAATATTATTAGCCACTAATCTTAGAATCTAAGGAATGAATTCTTCATAGTTGTGGTTTTCTATAAAACGAAAAGAAGCAACTGTATTCTAAACTGTCGTTTTTGTGCCGTGTGCATAACAGTAAGGAAAAGTAGTATTAAATAAAAAATTGCCAATGATTATATGACAACTATCCACCAGAGTTCAAATGATGCAAATTTAAGCAATTATAGGTCACCGTACGGCCTTCAACAATGAGAAAAACCCATATTGTATACTCGGTTATACAAGGCTTCAACATGAAAATGTGAAACAATTCAATCGAGAAAAATAACTACCAAATTTACAACAATACAATTTACAAAAAAAAATGACAAACATGAAACAACGACAACCACGCACTAGGCTTCAGGCTCCTGACTTGGGACAGATACGTACAGAATCAATGTGTCTGAATGAATCGTATTTAAGTTTACGGGCTCTATAACAATATCACCGTAAAAATTAGGATGTGATATCCCGTTTTGATAAAAAATTCTATAGGTAAAGCCGGATTTCCTAATCAAATCTCTGTATCTGTGAAAGAATTTGATAAATGTTTTGATTAATTTAAATTTGTGGTAACGAAATTCCTGACTGTATTGTAGGGTAGCAATTGGTGTCCATAGGAATGCCTACAACCTGTAAATCAACTTTCAATGATTGCCGAATCGTACATAGATGTTGCTAAGAAGAAAACTTACAGCTTTTATCACCCTCTCACAATTCCAGTGAGTATATCTAGCACTTTTACATATTTCTTTACAGAAGAAGGCTTAATATGAGATGCAGCAAATACGTCTGCAGTCAGATTTTTCAAAGAATCGTTGCATTAAATAAAGGAACTTCTGTTTGATAAGATTGTGTGATAGTGTAGTATACAGAGTCGAAAAGTCATGACTGTCAACCGAATTGAACTGACCATTAAAAGCACGTGTTTTATTCAACCTGACATCAAAAGAGTTTTTGACACTCCAAAAACAGTAAATTCCATTATTTTCATATGCTGTATTACAATAATTGATAACAAGCTCTTTAATAGAAGTAGTGGAACTAGTCAACATTTCTCCGATAGCAGCAAGTTATGGTATCATTATTTTTTATATATATTATATTTTTTTTCTAAAATTTGCTGTTTGATTTAAGACCACGAGTACATGTTGCCAAAAATTTGATATTTTTTTTTTATTATTTCGTGCGCAGAATTTCACAAGAAACAATAAGATTTTTGTTTTATTTGTTACGCATAACACAATTCAAATGAAAGTTTCGCCACATAATAATTTGTACATTGTTGTGTTTGAACTCAAGACAATAAAATGTCGAACAATCTGACAATAATGAAAAGTTACATAAGAAATCCAATTATGGACCTGGTAGAAAACAGAATTGCTTATCAGTTTCGTATTGATTCTGCAAGTTTTATTGATAAGAACCTTAAGAGATCCCACTTGAATCTGATAGATTTGCCAGCTTAGACAATATTTTTTACGTATAGTCTGCAATTTATTTAGGTAATGTAAGCTGAAGGTGGAAATATCTTTCCAAGTCTATTAATAAATTAATGAGGTTTATGTGGATGGTGTCTAGATACATACAATGCTGATGCAGCTATAATAAAGTGTTGGGCAGTTAATAAAACCTTGATGCAATCAATAACTATTCATGTAAAGTATATATAGAAGATTTAGTACTGACGAACACGCTTTTACATTGGGCTTATATGCTAAATAATAGCAACAACATACAATGCTATTACATGTAGGCAATAAGAGTCCCACTCTACCTTATGTTTTCTACAAAAATGCACTCACAAGCGCACACGTCCGTAAAGTACCTTATACCCCATTTCACTATTTCTCTACTCCTTAAAATCGCGTCGTATCACTTTGTATTAATTGAGATAATCTCATTGTTACTTATTGTAATTAATCAATTGAATATAATTCTACATTTTCAGAAATATAAAATCGCTTCCAGTTCAACATATATATAAAATCGCATACTCTCAATGCGATAGGTCCCGGGGGTGAACACCTTTTATTTTATGATATAAATGTATATATTTTACCAAAATCTCTCAAATTGAGATTAAAAACTCTTTTTAAAATACTTGTCTGTATTGGTTTGACTTAATACAACCATTTCACTGGTAAAATCAGTTTGTGTATGTGTATATATATAAGCATGAGTGTCATTTGTCCTAAATATTGGACATCATATATAGTTTATCTTAGCCTTTAAGCTTACACTATATATTTCAGTTGACTTTTTAATTGATTATTGTGAAATTCGAGTCATCCTGTCAACGAAAAGCCAATAACTTGTAACATATTAGATTTTAAATATTAGACCTTATATTATGGGTCTAATTTTGAATTATGGGTGTTTTTATTGCCGTTCATTTAACAGGAACCATAATATGTTCACACGACATATAAGTCTACTGTATGGCGGAGACATAAGGTTAACTTTTAAGTATAACCGCCTAACCACCAGAGGAGGTTAACTTTCAAGTATAACCGCCTAACCACCAGAGGCATAGTTTTAAGAGGATTTAAAACTTGAAAGAAAATGAAATCTAAATCTTTAGAAAATAACGAGCATGTTAACTTGTTTAAGTGCATACATAAAACAAATAAAAAGAAGTGGTACGATTGCGCATGAGACACCTATCTATCAGACACCAAACCGCGTGGATGTGAGCAGGTACAGGTCACTGTACGGTTTCCAACAATGGGCAAAACCCATACCGTATAGTCAGCTATAAAACCCCAAAATAACAAAATATTATAAAAGAATTCAAACGAGAAAACAAGCACATTGTGTGTGTGTGTGTGTGTAGAGGGGCGTACGTGAGTGGGCTGTTTTCAATACTATTGTTCATTGAAAAAATCTACTTGGAAACCATATGACCGAATAAAAAATGCAGCTCGTTAATACAAGATGTACACATTAGCATTGTAAGACAGAAAGGATTGTGGCTATGGCTATATACCAAAGACACAAAAAAAATAAAAAAATCTTTCTTTTGTAAATATGTCATGAAGTCTGTCTGAGATAAAAATGTACAATTTATTACACAAATTCATTGGTATTTTATCCTTAAGATGATATCCAATGTTGATAGTGTTATGAACTATGACTTCTAGGGAAATTGTAATTAATAGATTTCATTTGAAATTGACTATTTTATCAATGAAATGTACCACAAATTTACATCATACTTTACGATGAAAAAGATCGGCGTACTGATAGCATCATTACCCATTGGTTATTATAATGTTAATTCACATAAATAGTATCGTTGTTAATTCATGAGGAAAATATAGGATTATTTGACACAAGGTGAACTTACTCTGGAATTTCCGATGTTATCTCGTATTTATAACTGTAATATTTCCTTTTTTGTAAACTTATTTTGTAAATTGGAAATTTTAGAATATGTTAATATCTACTTATATTTTGAAATTTCCAATAATTTACAAATAGGAAATACAACATAATTTGCACATTTAAAATTGAGATTTTGAACATTGACAGTTCAAATTCTTACATTAATAAGTACATAAAATTAAAACTTACAAAAAAATGTTTATGTAACACATCGTTCTTTTAATGTACACATATACATATCAACTCATCGTTGGATCAGACACAGAGAGTACAAATTGAATAATCAAGTTCTATTTACTAAACTCGAATGATTTCGATAATAAATTGGATTCTTTTTTCCGTAAAGGCCTTGCTCGAGTTTGCAACATTTCGTTTTCTACGCACGATTGATAATTAACAAGCCAACACAAATTTTCCATAACATGAATGATTTATGATTTTATGGTACTAATCCTAGAAAGTTTATGAGGTCAATCATTTGTTTACCTTTGGAATTTTGTTTTTCATACAAAGGTTTCGCTCGGATTAAGAAGTTCTTATAGTAAAAACAAAAAACTATTTTTGTCCATCAGACCTTAAAATAGATTCTTTTAAATTCTTATGCTGTTTTGGATAAACCTAAATGTGTCCAAATTTTCGTTTTCATTATGCCCCTGTTGTTTCCGATAATAGGGACATTGACCAATGTTTGCTCAGCGTCCAGTGACGCATATTTCATGCACATGAAGAATGACGAGAACTAATTAAATAATAACCAATTAATTATAGTACTGCAAAGTAGAACGAATGGGATGGGATGAGATAGATTATTTGCAAAAGAATCCTCCCGGACGAGGATACTGGCCATGCAGTGGTAAATAAGTTGACGCAGCAGATAAATTATTCAGAACCATTCAATTTCTTACTGTCATCAATGAAAAGCAAAGTGCAAAATGTACATAAAAGTTACTATGATCTACATATTTATTCTCAGGGATTTATTTTACTCCTTAAAACAAACTTATTTAATTGTTATGTACCTATATAAAATACGAAACCATGTTGTCTTAATCTATGGAAATTAAAAATCTATTCAGAAAAGTTGTTAACATGATATGTAAAAATAGATCCAAGGAACAAAAATGTGATGAGTCGGAGGGACTCAAATTCTTGCCTCATTGGTAACCTTAATGATAAAACACATTATGTATAGAACAATACACACTGTGTATTATGTGTTGATGTTTGGTTATAATTCTAATAGAATAAACATATTGAAGATATACTTCACATCTTATTCTATTATTCATTTTATTCTAATACCCCGATTATCAATTTTTATATAGTTTGGTCAATCAAATTTATCCGCTTATTGTTGGTCATCTGTGTTGTTAGGGTCTCCCTGTAAGATAGAAACTGTTGGTCCGAAATTGGATGTCCTGTTTGTTAAGCACTGAATTTTGTGATCGAGATTTCTTTTCGGCGGTTTCTTTTCAGTTATACGTGTACAATGATTACTGATTTTAAACTATGACGTCAATGAGTATTTTTGCCTTTTGCATGTAAAATCAAAGATGTATTTTTGCCTTTTGCATGTTAAATCAAAGGTGTATTTTTTTGGAGTTGTTGGGGTGAGGGTTTTTTAATCAGACATCCATAACACTTAGGATGTGGCGAGGTTTGAAAAGTTAAGTGCGAATCTGCCTAAGAATCAGCAGTGGTAAAAACATGACAAACAAAAACCCACTGAAGTTGACATTAATTCATGTTCAAAATGTAAAATGGTGCACGAATATAACATTCGTTTCCTTTTCCTGTTCTGGTAATTCAAGATATAATTTGGTTGAAATGCACAAAAAATTAACAAGTAAGCGGAGCTAACTCCGTAACTTGCTATCATTCTAACCAAAAGTTATCTAGAGATTTCTAGAACTACCAGACACCCAGAAATGAAAGACCTACCATTTCCAACCCAGGATGAGGGTAACATCAAAATAGGATGGTTAGGTCGGTTGGTTTTTTTCCGGCCATGTTTTGATTTTTTTCAAATTGTCTGATTCTTACAAAGACTGGCACTTAAGTGAGTACTTAGGCATCACTTATCTCGATCAGTGTACTTACTAAAAGAGTAGCGAAAAAAAAGTACAAAGAACAGATTAGTGCCTGATTAAATCATTTCGGCATTACAATAAATAGAAAAACAGCAACATGAAAATCAGTACTTGATATTGACATTTCAAAGAATCAGTTACTAGTACTGAAATCGAGCCAACACTTTATCTATACTGAAATAGAAATCATGCACTCTAGACCAATATCGGCTGCTGTACTTCTGAAATGATTCAACGCAGTCCGG